GGAAATACACATTTGAAGAAAAAATTGAGCTGAAGGTGTTAGGTCCACCACCGCCGGACATTATTATAGAAACACAGGGCGTTAGTCGGGGCAAGGGCTATACGCGGCATTTCAGCAGGGAGATTTACACCAGAAATGACTGGATTTATGGGTGCAACAGGAATAATGTCCGTTTCTGCTTTCCTTGCATACTTTTCGGCGGTGACAAAGCTTGGTCGGAGGTAGGTGTTACAGATTTAGTGCACCTGAGTGAAAAAATTAAGAAGCATGAAAACTCTAAAACACATCTTCATAATTCGATGGAATTGGCTTTATTGGGGACTGTTAACATCAGAGCTCAGTTAGATCCAGCACATTGGAGAAATATACAACAGCATAATGATACCGTTACAAATAACAGGTACGTTCTATCAAAAAGAATCGATTGTATAAAATTTTGAGGAGCATTTGAATTGGTGCTACGAAACCGAGACTCCCAAAACCCGGGAATATTTCGTGGACTGATTAATTTTTCTGCTGAGCTTGATACAACCTTAAGCGAACACATAAAAAATGCTTCAATATTTAAAGGAACTTCAAAAGAAATACAAAACGATCTACTGGATTGTATTCTTGAAGTTTGTCATGAAGAAATAATAAAACAGATTAACAGAGCCTCGTATTTGGCGATAATAGCAGATGAAACAACGGACATTTCGGGAAACACCCAACTGGTAACAATTTTCAGATACGTATTTAACGGCGAACCAGTAGAACGTTTTTGAAATTATATGAATGTCGAAAAATGTGACGCTGATACTCTCACAAGACATATTTTGAGCGACGTAGATCCATTAATAGGAAATTTCCCTAACAAACTGATTTCACAAAGCTATGATGGAGCCGCGGTAATGAGCGGACATAATGCTGGAGTACAGGCAAAAATTAAACATTTGCTCACTATGTGCATTGCTATGCGTATCAGTTAAACATGATTTTGTCCCAAGCTGCTTCCGCAAATGCTCAAGTTCGGGTGTTCTTTGTGGATTTGAAAGATATTCCGGGATTTTTTAATAATTCTCCTCAACGCGTAGAGGTACTGAACAGAATTGTGGGGAAAAATTCCCCAAGGAGCAACAACTCGTTGGAATTTTAATATTCGAACAATAAATGTAGTGTCTGAGAACAGAGAATCACTCATTGAATGCATGGAAGAAATAGAAGAAAATTTCACTAATGAAACCGTTTGCAAGGCAGCTTGCGATATTCGCTGTATGTTAAACGATTCTGTTTTCGTGTTTTAGTTCAAATTTTGTCATCATGTCATGCCTCACGTCGACATCTTGTTCAACCAGTTGCAGAAGAGAAAAACCGAGCCAGCGCAAGTTAAAACGGCTATCGATAATTTTGAAAAATGTATGTATGTATGTATGTCTATGTGAGAAATAACATTGATGACATAATAAATAAAGCCAAAAGTATTTGCACTGAACCCCAAGGCAACAAACGGAGACGACGTAATAATAGCAGTCACGATCACCGAGTTGCCGCATTAGAAGTATGCGACAATATAGTGAATTCTGCAACTGACAGATTTCAATTCAAAGATCATTTGGTTTGCCGCATCCCTTTTTTTCCCCGAACACTTTGGAGAATACTGTGGTAAGTTTCCTGATGACAAGGTTCAAAACTGCCTGCTTGGCTTATCCCGAATTAGAAAAAAGTCGTTTAAAGACAGAGTTGTCTGTTATTTATGCACGGAATGATTTCCGAGATTTACATGGAACACTGTCTCTTTTGAAATTTTTGATACAACATAGTTTGGAGGAAACACTAAAAGAAACGAAAAAGCTATTAGAAATTATTGTTACAACTCCTATGTAAACATCAGAGGCTGAGCGAAATTTCTCAACATTGAAAAGAATCAAGACCTTTCTTCGAAATATACTAAGTGACATATAAATCCGAACACCCAGTTTAAATGGTTTTATTTTAATAAAATTTTGTATAAGTACTTAATGAAGCATAATAAGTAAATGATAAAAATTTCAAAATGATTGCACTGCTTTAAAGCCCTTTGACCTTTAATAATGTGTGGATGCACCCTGATGTCCAACGCGCCTAAGCATGCTTCTGATCAGGTGGTCAATGTCCTCCTGTGGTATCTCATTCCAGGCAACCACCAACTCCTCTCGAAGTGCTTCTAGAGTCTGAGGAGGACGTTGCAAATTGAGCAATCTCCTACCCATCATATCCCACACGTGCTCAATTGGGAATAAGTCGGGAGATCTTGGTGGCCATGGTAACAATGTGACATCATTATGTTGAAAGAAGTCTATTGTGACTCTTACAACATGTGGTCGGGCATTATCTTGTTGGAAAGTTGGATCTGCCAGGGTGTCAAGATAGGGTAAAAGATGGGGTTCTAGAACTCCGTGGATATAACGCTGCGCGTTCATGTTACCTCTGATGAAGATTAAAGGTGACCTGGAACCATAAGCTATAGCACCCCAAACCATAACTCCAACAGTGTGATGAACATGTCTTTCAACAAAAAAACTGTGGATTCCTCCTTTCACCACGTCGCCTTCTAACCCTGGCACGACCATCGTGCATGCCTAAACAAAATCGAGACTCGTCACTAAAGACAATACTGTTCCATTCCTGATCCCAGATTGACCGTTGTCTGCACCACTCAAGGCGATTACGCCGGTGTTCTCGAGTTAAAGGGAGGACCCAGTGTGGCCGGTGTGAAAACAAGCCAAAACTTCTCATTCGTCGGTAAACACTTCGCATGCCAATAGGTCTTCCGTGTCCTGCAAACCATTCATTTGCAATGGACCTGGTAGTGGAGAAACGGTCCCTTAAGGCCAATAATCTTAGGCGGCGATCTTCACGGTCTGTTGTTCTACGGCGGCGTCCAGTGCCCCTTGCTCTTTGCGTACGGCCTTCTCGAAGCCATGCCTGACAACACCTAACCACAGTGTCTACACTTCTTTGCACTCTAACTGCAATTGCCCGAAAAGAAAGTCCAGCTTCCCGAAGTCCCACTATACGGCCCCTATCAAACTCACTAAGTTGACGAAATCGTACAGGTCTCCGTACTCTAGGCATCGTAACCGATCGTAAAGGATGTCAAGAACCAAAATCCGCCAACGTTGATTCTTTACTGCGGCTGAAATATTCATTTTTAGAGCGTTAGTGAATTAAAAAAAAGCAGTATAAAAACCGGAATGTCCAACTGATAAGGCTGAAAATGTTTTCACTTGTTATTTACAGTAAGATAAATACATTCACCAACTTTTATTAAAATAAAACCATTTAAACTGGGTGTTCGGATTTATATGTCACTTAGTATACTATGACCCAGGATCGCCTTACAGCGTCGTTTGCTGCCAAGAAGGAGCGCAGGATCGAACTGACATATACAAAATAGGTGAGTTCGGATTTGCAGAACACCTGTTTTATTTTGCCACGAGCCGCCACTGACTTTGGGCATTGTAAAAATAGCAGGAATAAGCATTCTAATATTTTTTTATTACAACTAACCAAATGTTTGATAGACATCTAGCCTAGTCATTAAGTACGCCACTGTACTCACTATCACGTCATTCGTCCGTTTGCAACATGGGTTGACACCCTCACATAGCTTATTGAAATACATAATCGATTTGGTTGGAAAAAAAGTGTCCATAAATATTATTTCTGAATATAAAAATAACACCAACCCTATTTGGTTACTCCAGTTGTCTCGTCATTAGTTAACAGTTTAATGAATTATTAGCGAAAATTTGACAAGAAGTTGCCAAGTATATTGAAGGGCAGATTCAGCATGTCAAAATATGGAGAAAATTTCATATAAACACAATTCCAGAAATGCTTCGTTTCCGTAGTACTTTAAACTTGTGCGTCTATGACAATTCACTTCAAGTACAACTCAGCAAACGCATACTCTTGTTTTGGCTACAGGAAAGGGGGATTTTTTTCTGATCGCTTTTTTGTAAATTTTAATTTCCGTTGCTCTATTTTATTGCTTCGCTTCTTTCGAAAACACTGTCGCCTCCATCAAGTGAACGATAGAGAAGAAATATTTATAAGCGCTTATAATATAGATATGGCGAATGCCTTGCATTTGTGGGAGAAATTTTCAGACTCTTTATTTTTCATAATCGTTGGTTAGACGCCATTAAACAAGAAAAGAGGTTGCCGGGTGGTAACCCGGTGCAGATTTGTTCGACGAGTTACAATATATTGTTATTCGCTACAAGCAATGTTTTCAGTTTTTTTACTCACCACACCTAACTGCGGGGAAGTATTGTAATCGCGAAAATTTTCGAAAATGTTATATTACATGTTCATCACGAAAAACCATGTTACTCATTTCCGTTGGTCTGTCAGTCGGTCTATCCGGCGCTAATCTTATAACCGCCTATAACTTAAGAAGTACCACTAGGTATTCAATGAAATTCTTACACAATGTTATTACTATGCTAAGAACGCAAAAGCTTTGTAGCAGGGAGTGGGGACGTTGGTATATTTATTCGCCTCCAGCCCCAATAATTCTACGCACATATTAGTCATATTCCACTCATCATAGATGTCTCCATACATTTACCCAAATGACAAGCGTCGTCGTCAGTGGTCGTACGCCACAGTCGGCAATCGCTTCCGCACTGCTGTGGGCTGTGTGCAGTGTGCATGGTGAAGGCCAATATCGTGATTCGCGCGGGATTGGTATATTAAGAGGGATCCAACAAACGTGATTATGAAAATTGATTCCACGAATGCGAGGTTTTCGCCTCGTCTTATAATATGTAGTTCCTCCTTTTACTCTAAACATAACAAAAAGTTCTGTTTAGGACAAGCTAGGTTAAAAAAAACACCCTAACATCGGCAGCACTACATCGCCTGGAGTAACAGACGGCACGTGCTTTTTTTACCCTTTGATTATTGCGCATGCCCCTCTCGTATGTTCGCCCTCGAAACTGGGTTACATATCCTCCTTCATCCTTGCCGTTGTCCTTGCACACAGTTTTCCACCAGATATGGCGTCATGAGAGTGGAGACACTCTCGGCGCCTCGGTACGCCGTCGTATCGTGTCAAAAAACTTCCGACGGCCACCTAATTAATAATGCAACTCACAACTTCCGCGCCTGTATCAGATAGTCGATGATAACGGTAGCGTACTCACTCGGGTATCACAAAATAATTGAATTAATAATAGTTAATTTAGTTATAAGGCTTCTTACGTTCCACTACTTCGATGTTTCTCGTGCAGGAAAATCTATAATTCTACTGTGATCTCGTTTTTCTATAACCAGTGTGGTTCGTAATCTCGAGTTATAAGCGTATTTGTGCACATAAATGTTCATTCGTGTTCGTTATAAAACGTAAGCAGTTATGTCACTGATTAAATGCTGTTTTGAACCTCCGGAAGTGATCGAGATATTTGAAACCCTAGCGCAAAAATGTTCAGATGCTGGATGTAGCTGTAAGTATTTAGTTTGAAATAAGCGCTAAAAATATCAAAATATTTATAAATATAATTTTGGACATCTAGTGAGTAAGGTACTAACGATTTGTTTAATTCAGAATATTGTTACAGAAGTCTGCTTACCTTGGTCAAGTGATTGACTAAATGGTTAGACTACTATTACATAGAGGTCGCAACTTCTTGTGCTGGGATGGGGCGATATTAAAAAATGTAATATACGAATATTTATTCGGTAAATATTCATTTGGTATTTCAAGAACTTCGTAGAGAAAATTATCGTATCTCCATTCGGTAATGTTTAAATGCGCAAAGACCGAAAAAACTACAATTCTCAAAAAACCGTGATTCTGAAAATTGTTAATCGGAACAAACTTAATCACCGTGATTCTCGGAATGCTCCACCGTTTTATCCATCTCTACCGAACTAATGTCAAGTGTCAAGAGCTGCCAGGGATGTGTCATTTTTATTTTCTCTGGGCTGTTAGAACGCTTTTCCCAGTCCCAGGCAAACCCAAATAGGTTTTTTTTCCTGTTTTTAACTTACAGATCGACAGTACAGTTATGTGCAATGGTAAATAATATATAATTAATATCCATTACCTCAAATGATGGTTTATAATTAAATACTTGCGTCTTTGTACGAATGCCAGTATAAGGTGTTTGAAATCATTCAGATGATCTTTGAATTTTATATCATTCCAGGTTGCTGCGGGTGGTGTAGCGCTTTTAGACCGAGATATAAGAGACTGGTGGACAACATATTCCCTGTATATCCACAAGATGGGTTGGTTAAGTCGAATATGGAAAAACTCACATTCTACTCCCTTAGTTCACCAGAAAAGTTGGATCGAATTGGGGAGTACTTATTCCAGAGAGCAGCTAGGGACATATACAGGAAACGATATGGGTGAGTACTCTATGTATTTTGTATTGGCAATGTATTTTCCAAACAATGTTGCAGTTTTCATCTGAGCATATTAATATAATGTGGAAAAAAGGATTCTAACAGAATAGCACCAGACAAGGATTCATATTTTAGAACTTTTGTTGCATTGACTAGCAAGAATTTTTTAATATAATTTGTAACTTCAGATGTTTCAAAATGGGTTTCTATAGACCTTGAACTTCAGACTTTTAGTGAATAAGTGCATAAACAATTGTTAGAAAAAATTGCTGGAACCCAAAAGCTGGCATTATTTCTATTGTTAATTTTTATAGCCTGATAGACAACCAAGGTTGTGAATTGTGGACAATTTATTGTTGTTTAATGATAAAAAATGTTATAACTGTACATTGTTTACATTAAAAAACACTTTGTGATGTTAATTGTATATTTTTAGCAGCTTATTATTATTTAACTATTTTTATTACAGTATTTCTCTAATGCAATACTTTTATACTACATATGAGCTCCTTCCCAATTCAGTTGGCCCAACTATTGAAATCTTAGTTTTTTTCTTATCAAACACAAATAATAAAAATGTAGCAGAGTGTTATAGGTTTAAACTATTAACAATGAATATTTTGATAATATATAGTAGAACACACCAACTTTATCACCCCCTAATCAAATTTGCAGCATAAAAATAACACATGTTGCAATTACAGCATATCAACCTATTTTCATTTCAATGCAAAATAAGTCTATAACGCACAGCTGTCAGAATTCGTTTAAAATAGTTTTGGGTAGTTAAGGTTTTCAAAATGGGTAGAGGAAAGGTTATTAGTGAGAAAATTCGGTTACTGATAATTAAATTTTTTAGTTCTGATAAATCAAACTCAGAAATTGCAACTTTGTTAGACTTATTGCGGTACATTGTGAGAAATATTGTTAAAAGATATAACGTAACTGGTTCAGTTAATATTAAGCCAGGATATGTGAAAAAAAGTAATATCTCAAATGCTGACCGAAGAGCATTAAGAAGAATAATCATGAAAAACAGGTGTGCCAATTATTTACAATTAAGTGCTCTGTGGAGTGACGCTGTTGGAAGGAGAATTTAGAGGTCCACAACTCATAGAGAGGCCCACAACTCATAGAGAGGCTCACAAACTGGGATTTAGCACTTGCAAGGTAAGTTTTCTTATAAAAAAACGTGGAGTAAAAACCCTAAAGTTGCACAACTTGTTTATAGGAAAAAGAAAAGCCACTATGAACTCCACTGCAAAAGAAAAATCTGCTTAGATGGGCTAAAGGACATAGACAATAGACACCTCAACAAGGGTGTGCAATACAATGGAGTGATGAGGCCCGATTCGAAGTTTGTGTTGGTGATAGTCGCAGTAGAGTTATTCACAAAAAAAATGAAGCATTCCATGTTGACTGTCTGAAGAGAAAAGTGAAATTTCCAGCATTCATTATGGTCTGGGGCAGTATGTCATCAGAAGAAGTAGGAAACCTTCATTTTATTGATGGAGATGTGGATACAAACAAATACTTGGCAATTTTAGAAGAATCGCTTTTACTAGTGATGGAAGAATGTTTGACATCCGGCCAAGATTTTGTGTTTCAGCAAGATGGTGCTGCATGCCATACCTCAAAAAAGGCTATAAAATGGATGGAAGAAAATAATGTACCTCTCCTAATGGGTTTCTAGCAGTCCAGATGTGTCATCTATTGAAACTTTGTGGCACGAGATGAAAAAGGTTCTACGACAACATCCTGCTCGTACAATCACCGAACTGAGTCAAAAGCTTCAAGAAATATGGGATTGTTTTGCACCAAATTTTTGCCAAAACTTGGTTAACACTATGCCCCAAAGAATTTCAGCCGTAATAAAAAATAAAGGTGATGTTACCCAATGGTAATCTTGCAATTGTTGCTTTGTTAACTTTTATTCGCACATTATTTGTTCAGATGTTCTATTAGTTATAGGTCTAAGTGATTTCAAATATGAATTTTTTACGACTAGAGTGTATTTAAAATGTTTTTGAGAAAATAAATTGTTTTAGAAGTAAATAGTATTGTCATGTTTAGTTTATAAAGGCATATTTTGGTACAAATCTTGAAGTGGGAAGGGGCTCGTATTCACTTGGTTAATGTGACAATCAATTTGAATACATATTGAAAATGCAATTTTAAGTTATGTGTTGCTTATTTTCTATTTAAATTGCTAAGCTACTAATGACAATTACTCATACAAAATGAATGACATAAGTTTAGAACAATGATGTACTTTAACAATATTATTTTTCAAACTATAAAAACATATAACACATTTACTATGATCATAGAGTTTGTTGTACCCTTTTCTATGGAAGATCATTAAAAATAGCATGAGCAGAATAAAGTCATAAAGTTTCCAGTTCATATTAGTTCAGTATACTTTCTGTTCTTAATACTTATTATACATATCACACACTGACATGATTTATTAAATAATGCATGTATTCAAATGAAAAATATGTGACAAATTTACATAATATTGATTTTCTCTATTACTACATACAAGTACACTTAGGAGCATTTCTCATTGTAAAGTGAAGTCACATCCTATATAGATTAAATTATTGTTGTTCATTTAGCTTTTATCAGAGGGTCTATAAAGCCTGTTTGCGTTGCAACCATAGCTTAATTTCACAAATTTTTATTTATTATCTGTTATGTCATGAATTAACTTTTATCTGTACAACAAGAAGTCTTAATAATTGCCTCTTTTTCATTATACATAATAAGTTATTTTATTATAAATAAAAATATTGTACTTTCTGAAAAACAACAGGTTTGTCATTATTGCAATGGAAGCAATGGATCAACTTCTTTTGGCCTGTCATGCACCAACACTGAACCTTTTTGTGGAAAGTTTTCTAAGGATGGTCCAAAAACTATTAGAATCTACAGAACCAGAACTACAGATTCTTGCAACACAGTCAGTAAGTTTACCTCATTTTTGTATCATCTTGTAACATTTGCTATGTTGATGAATATATTCTCATAATTATGACATCAGCCTGATGAACATGAATGAATCTTTGAGTATCAAATAGTTGTAAGTATTTATTACTTGTACCTCCATTGCATTAGTTACATTAGTGCAAAATGTTGCCATTACTAATTAAAATGGTATTATAACTCAAATTGTCATATTATGTCATAGATGTCATGTCTTATAATGGTAGGGTGCAATACGTCGGTATTTCTTTAGTACATTACTGTTGTAGATAGTAGTCTCAGATGCCCTCCGATTTCTTTTGAATCTCATGATCACCAAAACGCCATTTTTCATGCACAGCTCGACGTCAATATTTTCAATGTTCACTACGATTTATAGTTGTTTTCATGGCTTTAGGCAGTTCAAAGCAAAACTGCCAGATTCAATTTCATATCTCCATCTCTGACATGCACACACGAGTCATCTACCTTGGCTGTTGATGTTTTTTGTCCTCAGAGATACACGTTATCTAGTTTTGTCACCACACATCAAAAATTTTCATCATAACATATCAGTGTTCTGCAAGTATGGTTTTGACATTGTCAGTGTCACAACTCTCTTGTCATCGACGTTCGATTTGACGCTACCTCTTGTTCATCTTCATTATTTAGTGGACGATGTCGACAGTTTTGCTAAAATTGAATGAAAACAATGACCCTTTTTATACACTTCATGTGTGTAAGAACGAGTAGCAACTGCGTTGAAGATTTGTTTACGCAGCGTGCATTTTCCCTTACGAAAAATAAGCTACACCCATGACACAGTTATTCGATCTGTTTACTTATTTTGTATGGGATTAATGACATAAAAGCCAAAACGATGAAAAAGAAACTATAGCATCAACACACCAAGAATGCAGTGGTTTCTTCATGCCACCCTGATTACTACAGTTTCAGTTTTTGATACAGTTGATCCACTGTAGAGTTTTTAATTTATAAAGAATTCCACAATCTTTTGAGCTGAGTGGTACTTCATGCTGGCTTTCAATTAGGATTGGAAATAGCATACCTGGAAAACCATTTTTTTTTCATTCTTTATTCTTGGTTGATATTATTTGTATGATATTTGCAGTTTGTCAAATTTGCTAACATAGAGGAAGACACACCATCATACCATCGCCGATACGACTTTTTTGTTAGCAAATTCTCAGCAATGTGTCACAGCAATGAAAAAGATGAGGAACTTAGGAATAAAATTCGCATTGCTGGAATCAAAGGCCTGCAGGCTGTCGTTAGAAAAACGGTGTCTGATGATCTGGTAGAGAACATTTGGGAGCCACAACATATGGACAAGATTGTACCAAGTTTGCTGTTCAACATGCAGGTCTGTAAAAAAATAGATATCCTGGTTTTTGTTTTGTATTAAGCGGTGTTCTTACCTTAAGCTTCCCGACGGCAACTCGACTTCTCGTTTCGAGGTTGTGAAAAATGCACTTAATAATAACAGGATCAGAATGTTACCTTAAGTCACAGTGAGATTCACAAGTCGAAATCGAGTGACTTGGTTTGGGTGAGAACAATCGGTAAAGGTTAATTACAGGGTCCGTCAGAAAGAATGCATGTTTTTCGAATGGGTACTACATCGAGTGAGATGGTCCCGTGTCGGTGGGGAAGGGCGTGTTGGATAGTGGGAGAAGTGCCGTTTCAGTTGGCAAGACGGTTTGGAACGTTGAGCATCGTGTGTTCGCTGTACGTCGGTACTGTCAAAATGGCGAGTCTGAAAAAGTGCCACACATGTCTCATTTTGGTGGTTCTTAAACAGATAAAAAATGTTTCAAGTGGTATAACTTAGATTTTGTTTTTGAAATGTTTGAACAGTATTTGTTGTCTGAGGTCAAGCATCTTTTTTCAGCAATCTGCCTATTACAAGAAAGATCAAGGCAATACTGAAGTACCTTCGGATGACAGTTTGGATCCTCCTATGCTTGCTGAAACATGCCTGAGGGAATTGGTCGGTAGGGCTTCCTTTGGACATATAAGAGCTGTACTTAGGCCAGTTTTCAGGTGACTGTGATCATATTTTGAATTAGTAGCAGTAAAACTTATCAAAGATTAAATTTAAAGACTGGCAGTTACATGGGTGTCTGAAGTGAAAGTATATTTTTCAAATACATACTGTTTTCTGGGCGTCATAAAACGTACCGTGACATGTAATAATGTGTTACTGCCTTTTTATTCCACTTGAAAAATATTGGTTTCTCTGTTTCAGGCACTTTGATCTGCACAAATTGTGGGTACCGAACGATTTTGCAATTCACACCTTCCGAATAATAATGTTTTCCATTCAAGCACAATATTCATACACGGTAGTAGAATCACTGATGGCACATTTGGACGAAAACGCAAAATCGAGCCCGACGATAAGAACCAGCATTGCGGGTGTTTTGTCCAAAATTATAGCTATTGCTGCGGGTGAGAGTGTCGGTAAGTTTTATTTGTCACTAGACTATGCCCGCGTTTTGCATTAGTGTTCTGAAGGATATTAGTTTTGGAGAAATAAATCAATTTTTCAGAGTAATGCAATAGTTACTTTGACAATAAACATAAGTTCAATTCAAATCTTATGTGACGTTTAGGACACCCGTTATTAATAAATATAAATAAACTTCTATTCCTTTCAGGGCCGTCTGTGCTAGAGATCATAAATTCACTACTGAGTCATTTACGTGATTCGGTAAAGAATGAAGCCAGTCAATCAGAGGAGAAAGAGTACCAAGAAGCACTGATCAACGCTTTAGGAGAATTTGCTAATCATCTTCCTGATTACCAGAAGATTGAAATAATGATGTTCATTATGAGCAAAATACCATTTCCACTTGTTGATAATCAAACTCCAGCTGATAATTTGCTGCAGAGCATATTGCTGAAAAGTTTATTGAAAGTAAGTAATACACGATTTTTCAAATGCCTTGAGTTTTCAGTCTACTAAGTATTACCATACAGACTGTAGTATCAAATCTTAATGCTTCTAGGTCAAATTACAGTTAAAGATAAGCAATTGTGATATTTTATTCCAATGTTTTGAGCGGGAGTGAAGTGCATATAAGTAAAACTCCTTTTGTAAGTTTTGTGATCAGTGTTTAATTATGTAATTTTTTCAGGTCGGCACTAAATATCAAACGATCCATTTCAATACTACATTCCCCGTATCATTTTTGGAGCCACTGTTAAGAATGTCTTTAGCTCCTGACCCTGACATGAGGTTGCTAGTGCAAAAAATTCTACATACTCTCTTAGATCGACATCAAAACCTAGAAAAGCTTGCTAAGCCTACGTAAGTCATTTTTCAAATACCGCATTCCTTATACAGGGTAGACAATATATAACTGATTGATTTAAATAGCGCGCCATTTTTGATACACGCATTTCAGTAAGTGGCACCGTAGTAGTTGTTTAAAGGACTTGTGACAGATTCGTCAAGGAGCACTACACGATCCCACAACGCCTCCGTATTATTATAATGAGTTGATTGTTGCAACGATTCGGAAGCTACGACCAGATTTTGGTCGAAATAATGTGCCCAGTGTCAACACCATTCGTCAGTTGGTGCGGAGATTTGAACAAACAGGTGAAGTTAAAGACTTGCCAAGGTCAAGCCGTGTTCGAACTGTTCGTACTCCGGAAAATATCGAGAGAGTTCGTGAAAGTGTAGTGGAGCGCCCTGAGACGTATACCAGACATCGTTCTCAGGAACTGGGTATTCCTCGCACGTCATTATGCTCTATTTTAAATAAAGACTTGAATTTGTGGCCATACAAAATTCAGTTAACCCAAGAACTACAGCCTGGTGACCATGAAAGTCGCCGACAATACAGTCATGCAATATTGCAGGTTACTACCCAAAATAACGATATTTACCGACAGCTGATAATGAGCAATGAAGTCTAAGTTTTTTACTGCTTTAAACATGTATTAACAGTATTTTAAAATTGTTTTTTTTTTCAGCTAAATTTGAATGTTTTAAACAAAAAAGTTTTAAACAAAAAAAACATGATTTTTGTTTGTTTTTAAAAAACGGTTTTTTTTCAACCCTGTTTATAACGCGATACAGCAGCGCAACTATGTGGAAATGAAGTTGATTTTTGGGCGCATTTATATGACCTTGAAATTTCGCCACTTGAGACGCCCCCACGCACAGTTGCGTGACTGACGCTGATTAGTCTTTTACAGCGTACATGTCTTGAATAATCCGTTCTTCTCGGCAGCTATGATTATCTATCTACATAGTAAGATATACGATGCGCGAACCCCCGATATTGTGAGGATTACGAAGCTGTATAGTATTTAAGGGCGAATCGAGGGGTGGTCATGACCCTCCCCTAAGCGAGAGATCAACCACTAATGTTTTTTACTATAATGAAATGTATCTCAACTTCAAAAAGTATTATGCATTCTTGCTACACGACCATTAGTGTGGCGTCAGCAGAGATGTACTTCTCTATTCTCAGGAGGCTCAAAACAGGGTTAAAAGTGTCTATGACAGAAGATTGCCTAACCGGATTGGTATTTTTTCACGTCTACAAAAGTAATGTAACATATAGTGATCTAGAAGAAGTGATAAGTCGTTTTAGAGGAAAACAGAAAAGATCTAACAATAAAATGTTTCTTAATTAGATTGTATGTTATTTTAAACGCAGTGACGACCTTGATTAAGTGACCCTAACTCAACGTCCTTGGTATGTGCGCTGTTATGGAATCTGGGCCAGTATTAAATAGGGAAATAATTGGGCCCATGTTATGTCAGAACAAAGGTATTGTTGCTTATATTGATTCTGACCTATTTCAGCAGAGTCCACGTATCGGAGTTAAACTTGGTGCTAGAAAAGTCGTCACGACCAGACTTGATATTCATCAATAAACATGGACCAATAGTGTATGATGCACTTTACACCAGCCTTCAAATGGACACAAACACACCAGAAAACATCGAAGCTATATATACGACTTTAGCTTTACTATGCGTTGAACTAGCTAGTGCTGAAACTGTCATCGATTTACTGCAATTGATTTTAGGGTGAGTGCTGGCATTGAGTAACGTATTCTCTAAGAACCCTGCTTTATTAAGTACAAAGAGTAGTTATGCCAACAGAAAACAGAAATAATGAATAAATGAGATAAATAGACAGGAAAACCAAAAACATGGCGACTTGTAGCATTTTTTGCGCGCAGGTACGGCTTTCAATCGGATTGGGTATCTTCCGAACATTGGCCCTAACGGAAATGGTGAAATGTTGTTTTTGTTCGCAGGATACAAAATCTAGCTCTCAACAGCACGTCACTGTCAAACGCGCAAAAATTCAACTTGCATGCGATTGTGATAAGTTTACTGGTACTAATACCCGAAGTCGTGGAACTCAAAGATCTGTCAGATTATGCGATGCAGATTGTAGTCGCAAGACAAGAGGAGGCGCCCCATTTACTGCCAGACTTGTTGGACCACTATGGTGTTGACTGTGAACCAGCGAATAAAGTACCCCATTTATTGATAGATCAGGTAGGTCATACGTTCTAAATATTAGTCACAAGATAAGCGAGTTATTAGGTTCCGAAAAGAATCTACGATACCAAATGCGGCACCACATGCAACAAAGAATTGGTTCCAAACATCGCATGCCGTGTTGGTAAACTAAGCTATTTGTTTCTAAATATGATCTGGAAAACAGAAATTCGAACATTTCTATAGCCATAATGAAGTCGTCGACTTGATGTTAGTTTATGGTGTGTTCATGATACTGCTAATGCTTCGCGAGTGTATTCAGGTCGTCTTCTTGAACGTTTCCATCCTGCGCTGCGTAGGTTTATTAATCTTGTAAGGTTGTTTGTAAGAGCGTCGAGGTGGGTACGTAGATATCCCCGAATGTTGGAGTAAGAAGTTAACAAAAAAAATTTTTTTAGTCGATCTGCGATAATTTAGAACAGTACTTGTAAGTCACGTGTGACAGGGCGGTAGTTGAAATTCATTATTAAATGACCACCAAGTACTATTCTTTTTTACCGCAAAACATTAGCTTTCTAGTTGTCTCTGAATAGGAAAGTCCCATCTTCTAGAACACCCTTATTATCAAATCTAGAATAGACAAATGGGAAAAATGGTGAACGCTGTTGAAAAATCTTGTAAGCGTATACTTACGACTTGCGGGCAACATTTTCAAAAACTGAGTGTTTGGCGAATGTAGCGACTTTTTTTACTAACAAAAAGCCTGTTTATATATATTCAAACCCACCTTTTTGTAAGGTGCCGAATATAATCCTTTAGGGATTGATGACAGTGTTGCATATGAAGTGCAGAACCAACGTACTCGACGCCATTTTTTCGTAAGAAAATCTGTAAGAACTACTTGAATTACCATGTGTTTCATCATTTTCAGATGGCAGTATGTGAATGCGTAAAACAGGGAGGCATAGATCCATCGAGACTCCAACAAACTTCGCCATACGGTGCTGGTGGTCCAGGAATCATTGTTGGAAACCAACGTAACAGTTGGATCGAGAATGGCGCTAGAGGAAGCCTCATTGAACTTCCGGCGGCGGAAGTTGATAGTGCGGCTAGCTCTCCAGGAGTTCAAAGGGTAAGTGTGCCTTTGTGCATAAAATAAAGCTTATGAAAAATAGTGTTGGTTGAAAAATTCCGTAACACAACAGAGCGAAAGAAAAGTCGTTTAAGCATCATACTTAACAAATAAAATATAGTCATATCAATGACTCAACACCGGTAGTATTTTATTAATTGCCAAAAAAACTACCAGTACATAACCAAAATATCCCGTGAACGATCTGCGGAAAGTAACACCTTGTATGCAAACATATCTCTTGTATCTAGTTATCTGTTGTACACTATTATCTTAAGCTCTCCTGGAACACATCAACAAAGTCTTGGAGAACATATGGAATGATACTTCGGATTAAATAATTCCTCAGATATCCTCATGAGAAAGTAGTTACATACTACCTGTCTACAACATGAAATTGAGTGACGCATCCTTATACAGGGTTATCCAAATTAAGTGTCCACCATTAGTAACTTTGTTATTAGTGAAAATACAAAGTTATTTGAATTAGCAAACTAGTAGCATTTTTAACGCTGGTAAAAATGAGAAATAAAAAAAAACAATTGAGAGTCGTTATTTTGATTTTTTTCAGTAAAATAACATTTTTTTAAATGGAAACCCCTGTATATTATATTTTTTTCTGTTAAAGCATCAAATTTTAAACAAAAAAGCTTACAATAACTTTTCTCCTAGGTTACAAATTGTTGAAGTTATGGCCTCCAATCTGAAACAATTAAATTGTATCGACAAACTTTATTTTCAACATCAACTTATAATCTTACAAAATACAATAACAATTTTTTTTAAAGAAGATGCTCGAAAACACCACCTTGTTCTTCAATACATTTTTGGGCACGTTTTTCAACTGCTCGAACTGTCTTAAGTATGGTCCTACCATCTATCTGGGTTATCTTTTCCCTAACTGCAGTCTTTAACGCGTCAAGGTTATCGTACCTTCGCTTGTAAATTTGGTTCTTTAAGTAACCCCACAAGAAGTAATCAAGTGGGTTTAGATGTGGTGATCTGGGAGGCCACTGTATTGGGCCATTTGTTCCTATCCACTGATCATTAAAAGTAGTACTTAGAAAATGATAAGTACCTCTGGAGTTGTGGGCAGGTGCGCCATCTTGCTGAAAATGCAGATGATGTCTACTTATAAGATCCAATTCGTCTAAGAAATTAGTCAGAATTTCTGACATAAATTCCACATATCTTTCACCAGTTAGGGTTCCCTCATAAAAGAACGGGCCAACAATTTTTGAACCAATTATACCGCACCAAACGTTGAAACTGAAACGGACTTGTGGGCCTCTTGGCTGTACTAACAAAAGATTTTCTCTTGACCAATAATGGTGGTTTTTTCTATTAAACATTCCAGAACTTGAAAAATTTGATTCATCTGTCCATAAAAGGTAACGAAAGTTATTTACATTTTGGCGACAGAAGCTAAGATACCAATGGCAAAAAACAAGTCTTCTCTCTGGATCCCCTGCCAAAAGCGTTTGAACTGGTCGGTACTTATACGGAATAAATTTGTATTTTTTTAAAATCCTTTGAACAGTACCATAACTGAAATTAGAGTCCTTGAGAATATCTACTATTGAATTCTCACGATAAGCTTCAAAATATCCAATAACTGCAATTTCCGTGGCCTCGCTTATTATGAATTCTTTTTTTGCCCTTGTTTTAGCAAAAACATTTTCGTTGCCCCTAAATTTTCGATAAAGTCTCAGAAAATATCGTTCATACGGTTGAATGCGAGCGGGATATAATTCACTGTAGTATTCTCTTGCTCTCAAGGAGGATTTTCTGCACACTAAATAGCATTCTAACATATCACACTTTTCTTCATGGGAGAACATTTTTCTTTAAATTAATGACACAATAAAGCTTATAAACAAGTATTTACACTAATGTTTGACATTATTTGATTTTATCATTGTTTTCCAAAGCCTTCTAGTTGCGAGTATGTCCAGTTTAACAATTTGTCGCTTATCTTAATGCTGTCAAATCGCGAACGCCATGTTGTTTTCATAGCCGTCTTAATATTATAATACTGCAAATAATTAAAAATATTTATCGTTATTTTGACTTTATTTTTGACTTTAGCGGAAAAGTCATTATGAACTTTTTTGTTTAAAATTTGATGCTTTAACAGAAAAAAATATAATATACAGGGGTTTCCATTTAAAAAAATGTTATTTTACTGAAAAAAATCAAAATAACGACTCTCAATTGTTTTTTTTTATTTCTCATTTTTACCAGCGTTAAAAATGCTACTAGTTTGCTAATTCAAACAACTTTGTATTTTCACTAATAACAAAGTTACTAATGGTGGACACTTAATTTGGATAACCCTGTATAGTTGTCTCTATTCGTCGTTGTCTGTCAAAGCGATCCGTAGGACCTTTGCCTTTGTGTAGAAGTACGTCATTCAGTTTGTTATTCAGTCCGCCTGGTCAGCCAGAAACCAGTCAAGATTAAAAAGGAACAAGCAGAAGAAGAAGAATAAATAACATGTATCTTTCGGAATGGTTTGTGACTCATATCGGCAAGGTAAACTCATGCATTTTGCTATTAAATGCTCTTTGGACGAACCTTGTATATTGCTTAATAAACTACAAGCCCCTTTCCACTTCAGTTGGCCCACTTCAAGATTTGTACCAAAATATGCCTTTATAAACTACACATGACGAAACTATTTACTTCTAAAACAATTTATTTTCTCAAAAACATTTTAGATACGCTCTAGTCGTAAAAAATACATATTTGAAATCACTTAGACCTATAACTGATAGAACATCTGAACAAATAAACAATGTGCGAATAAATGCGCGAAGTTAACAAAGCAACAATTGAAAGATTACCATTGGGTAACATCACCTTTATTTTTTATTACGGCTGAAATTCTTTGGCGCATGGTGTTAACCAAGTTTTGGCAAAAATTTGGTGTAAAACAATCCCATATTTCTTGAAGCTTTTGTCTCAGTTCGGTGATTGTTTTTTACGATTATTCTTCTTAATGCTCTTCGGTCGGCATTTGTGATATTACTTTTTTTCACATATCGTGGCATAATATTAACTGAACCATTTACGTTGTATCTTCTAACAATATTTCTCACACTGTACCGCGATAAGTCTAACAAAGTTGCAATTTCTGAGTTTGATTTCCCAGAATTGAAAAATTTAATTATCAGTAGAATTTTCTCACTAATAACCTTTCTTCTATCCATGTTGAAAACCTTAACTACCCAAAACTATTTTAAACGTATTCTGACAGCTGTGATTAATAAAAACATTTGTCCTGGCTTTTATTTTTCACAGCCATCTATGCGTTATAGACTTCTTTGCATTGAAATGAAAATAGGTTGATATGCTGTAATTGCAACATGCTCGTAGTAGTGATGGCCGGAAAACAGGTGTTTTGGGATAAGCAATCAGAACTTCTCAAGAACTACTTGACCATTCTACCCTAATTTTGCTGTAGCGATTTAGAAGTATGAATCCTATGAATCTGAAGAATTTCAAGTATCTGCGTGAGACTATCGTCGCATTAGCAACAAATGCCAAAACCTGCATTTTGCCTCAATTTTCGACCATAACTTTTTTGCAATTAGTTCTAGGTCTTACAAGTTCTAAAAATCTTATTTGAAGAGTTTTTTCGTTCCTATCGACGCTTCCAATTGAGTCCCAAAAACACCTTTACTCATTCTTTGTTGTCGAATAGAAAGTTCTCCCACAAAAATTGGTGTACCCATTTTATGCGTCCTTGTTTTAAATATCTCCTTAAACAACGTGCAGTAATAAAACCAGACTTTCGCAAACCAGGGGTATTTTGTATGACAGAACTGGTATGTGTTTAAATATGTAAAGATTGTTTTTTCTGTTGTTGCAGAAACATACAGAGGAAGAACTAACGTTTGAAAGTATGAAAAAGGTACTAACGGAACCCCCGGAGGTACGAAAAGAGGCAGAAGCTGAACGGAGAAAACTTCTGAGCCACACGTTCAGAACGGCCTCGTTTTCGGAGCTTGTTCGCAGGACAAAACCCAAGGTATTTGATTTATGCTTGGTAGACAAACGGTCGTTTTTGTATTCCTGAACGCGAAATGTAATTATTTTAAATTTCGCATGATGGTATTCATGAGTGTGCATCATTTTGTCATTGTAAGAGCGGAAAGCAGAACTTTGACTTACTGATTTGTCTCACAAGACTGATTGCCTGTTATACAGGGTGTTTCAGAACTATGTAACAGTAGAAAACATTTTGAGTATAGGGACCCATATCCGGAAAAGTGTCACTACGGCCCTAAGACGCGTTAAAATTTAGAAAGGCAATGAATTGCCTAAATAGGATTTAATGCATTTAATTTTTCTACATGATATCATCACAACAGTTGTTCAAAATGTCTTCTTCCAACCTGAAAAACGCGTCTTAGGGCCGTAGTGACACTTTTTCGGATGTGGGTCCCTATACTCAAATGTTTTCTACTTCATAGTTCTGAAACACCCTGTATAGACCGAAAACCATATTGCACGTTACATGGCGATGTGAAATAATTTTAGAGGAATATGGAATCCACCTCCTTTAGAATCATGTTCTATGTTAACTATTTTAATACGAGTGTGTAGGGATATAAAAACGACTCCTCATAATTGTTGACGGTCGCAACGGGCGTGTCTTAATTTTTCTGCCTTGATTCTAGCACGATGTTTTACAGAGCAAGCTAAACGAAATCTTTAAGTCATTGAATGCCAACGAAAACTCTGATCCTACGGAGGAAAAGAAAAGCGAAATTCCTACATACGAGCAAAACTTTCCAGAACTGTTTTATTATTAGGTGGTTTTGAACTATATTGAATAGGAGTAAACTATACATCAAACATTGACGCGTCGCATTTTAGCTAGAAGGAATTGACTTTATGCAAGTTGGTTATCGCCTGAAGTCAGGGGTTGTACTTGAATTTCCGTGTAAGGTAGACATAGTATACAAAATTGTGTGAACAATTCAATATACATAATCTAAAAACATTAATTTTCAGCAATTAAGTTGAAAATATGTGGGACCTTTTTGCATAAAACCTGTTCCTTCTTGCACTACTAAGTTTTATTTGGGTGTTTTTGTATATTTATTTTGTTTGAGGAATTGTGCTTATTTAACTATATTTTTATTCTTTCATAAATTGTAAATATTATATTTGTTCAATTTGCAATATTTGCAGATATTCGTTTTTGTTCTCACTTTATGATTCATAGCAATACAAACTTTCTGTGTATCTGATGCATAGTTTAGGCAAACTCGATATCAAAATTTTGAAGTTCTCTGTGACATTTTTCAAAATCTAGCTCTTGAATCTGAGATAAAAGTGGTACTAAAACCACCACGAAATTAAAAAAAAAACTTGTTCTGTCTCACACAGAACGCTCCTCAATGACTACCGAGGCAGTTAAAACGTCATTAAAGTTTTTGGGGTTTCAATTAGTCAATCAGATTGGAGCTAGAATGATGTAACTTCTAGAACTTGTCCTGTGGTAATCTTTGATGCATCTCCCTGAATCTGGACAATGAATGGCCTCGCATGAAACGAGTAATTACGCTATCGACGTTTTGGAAGCCATGCGAATGATTTTGTGCTTCCAAAGAGATTATTGTCCAGATTAAGGGAGATAAGGAATTTAATGAGGATGATTGTGTGCTATATCACGATAGTAATACTATAATTGGTTACTTTTTGTGATTAATAAATATAACGTTGTAAAATATCTGAGGTCCTTTCCAGACGAAGTTATGTTAAGATCTATTAGCTGTGAGAAGTATGTTGTATTCCTAAGTCATAAATACGTTTTTCTCAAGCTCTAGGTTGCCCCCACTTAGACCGTATCATCGGCACTTTGATAGCTAATTAAGAATATCTCCAATCTATTATTGATCCCTGATTTTGGATCAACTTCCAGAGTTGGCCGTGTAACAATGCATGTAAATAAGTGTGCTTGGTCCAGTCTATACTGTGGAGTGGTATGTTGAGACCAAAGACAAATCATACCAAGACACGGCAGATGAAGCGAATCGATTTGAGAGAGATAGACTGGTTTTACCACTTGTTATTTGGTGAGGAATACATACGGTGTTGCCATATAGATAAATAATCCGTTTTGGTTTAATTCATTGACGATTATAGCGAAAGGTTAAGCATTTTTTGTTCAAATTCACTTCTTTTTGAACCCTTATGCGGGTCTTGCGTATTCATCATCCATTAGCAGCATACAAAATATATTTTTCATCCAGTGTTTAGATTATAAGGTACAACGTATGTATGCAAGCAATCACAATACTTAACCGACATTCCAATATTCTTTCACATTAAGCAATGCATCCGATAGTAAGTGGTAATATTAGAAGCCTTAGTTATTAGATCTCATTTTTATTTAGCATGTTATCGTTGAAATGCGTGCTGAGTCAAATATTTTTTAATAGTGTATCATGAAAGGAATATGCAACAATAAGACAACTGCTATGTCTTTTCGCGGTTTTTTGTGGGTTACAGTAAAACGGTAAATTTACAGGATTTACTTTCATGCGTAAATCTCTCTCACAAATACTGTGCGGACTTTTGTGTATAAGTCTTTCACATTCATGCTTGTCACTATCAATATGACATCTTGCCTCTTGTTCATCCATGATATTAAACATAGCAATGTCTAAAAATACAACTACAAGTCTGTGAAGTGAATGAAAACAACGGTCCTCTACACAATTCATGTGTGTGTACATATGCACTGCGATAAGACTGTACTTCATTCAGCTTGATATAAATGTAGCAGTTTTTAAACATTTTCTCTCAGTTTGGCAACACTGCCTCTTCTCGATATATGCCGAGCCATCTATGAGACAACCTTCAAACCAAGGGCGTTTCACTCATAGATCGCTGTTTTTTGTTTTAAACCTCTAATGCAGGCCAAACCCAAGGTCAATCAAATTGACCGACAGATATCAAAGACATTCCATTCCACACATTGTCTGCTCTTGGTATAACTACTCTTTGGTAAGTCGATCAAGGATTTCGTTAGCTCAGACTTATGGGAAGAATCCTGCAGTATACTTTTCAAGAAAAATCCTTCGGGTGGTGTCAATAAGTCGGCTGCGGAATACCGCCGCGCTTGGTATCTGTCAGTATGCTCCCGGTATCGTGTTGGACTTTTTTCATCAGTCTGCGCTGGAGGGCGAAAGCTCTTCCTCGATGTTGTCCCCTGCTATCCCCTAGTAGGCGCTAGCCTCTAAACGATCCACCATCAATAGGGGCAGCAAAAAAAACGCATTTCATGACTTCTGGAGGACAACGGGTTAGTGTGTGTGTTTGACAATTCTATTTTGACAAATAATTTGACTAATGGACATTAATTTTTGGATTACTAGTAATAATTTGTAGTTAAAGATTATACTGTACATGATGTTTGTTATCTATTTTTCTAAGTGTAAAAAGGCGGAATAGGGATACTCTATCTTCTGTTGTAACTCAAATTCAATAAAATCTATTGCAGTTGATTTGTTGTTTTGATTAAATACCTTGGTTCAGACCAACGGCGGCGCACCTGAGACCTGTGAGCCTGTGAGCCAGGGCGTACCTAAGAGAGTATATCAACTCCCGGGAAGATGTGAAAATGTTGATTTTTGTTAGGAACCGAGTTAAAAACTAATAATTGCAACATTAAAAATTTCAATCCAGCTACTATTCAATAGATGGCGCTTCAAAACCCTACTCTCGCAACTCCCACAAAATTTAACTAGGCTAAAATAACCTTGGTAGGGGCGGTTGGTCGGGGTTTGGGTGGCTTAATTTTCAACTCGTCCTCCAAGATGAAGAAACTTTAATGGTCGTGAGGGGGCTAAAATCTCCCCATTTTTGTCAAGAATAAGATTCTGATTAGTGTTTTAGATAGTCATACATATTACGTATTGTTTTTGCCATTATCAGAGACAAAACTTCCGCCCCCTTTCGTAAATCGAGCTTTACTGAACGCTTATGAAAATCGCTGAAGGTAGTCTATGGAATATATGAAGCGTATGATAACACTACGCAAGTGGCGCCCTCTACTTAATAGTAGCTGAACTAAAATAAAAATAAAATGTAAGTGAAATAAAATTAAATAAGCTCGTATTTGCTCAAGAATTTTTGTTATTAATTTGGTTAAAATGTAACAAAAATTTTCAATCCAGCTACTGTTCAATAGATGGCGCTTCAAAACCCTAATCCCACAAAATTTTATTAGGCTAAAAGAATTCTCGGAGGGGCGCTGGACGGGTTTTGGAAGTGAATCGCCTGATAACAAGTGCCTATTTAAGCCTATTTAATAGTAGCCGAACTAAAATAAAAGAAAAATGTGAGTGAAGTAAAATTTAATTTGTTTAGGTACAAGAGCAAAATAAATTTTAGGGAATATCCCGGTCTACATAATCGTATGGCCGCTAGTTATTTTTTCAAGCTGACAGGTTGTTATGTAGGAGATTGGGAATTGGAATAACACCCTGTTAAAAAAAACTTAAATTTATTATGAAAATATAAAATAACCTAAAACATGACTACAAAAATATATACAGTAGGTGATAACACACCAGATTAAAGGAAAATAAAAAACAAATGTTAAAAAAATTGGGTTTAAATACTGTCCAATTTTGACATTAAAGACATATTTCATTGTTTCATATATATTTTTGCAAAATAAGAAAAGTTCACTTTGAATTGTTTTTATCACAGACATTTTGAGGCATACCAATCGAGAAGAGGGAATTATAAGATCCAGGAACAACATAACACATGAATATGAAACATACCAAATAGAACAGTCGTCAAATCACAGGAAACCGAAGAATAACTTTTTTATATCGTTACAACGTTGATACTGAAGCCAAAAAGGCTGATCCGCATGAGGTTCTGCATTCTTCATTTTCCTAATGATTGAAACATTGAGCGACTGATTTATGAGAAGTTCTCCTTACAAATAAATTAGGTATTTCATAAATTGAATATTTACAAAACAAAATAAGCAATGTTAAATATACAAAATGAGATGTACGTTACCAAACAACTACATAAATATAACATTACAGAAAACTCTGGTTGATGTACTATGAAGTGACGTAAATCATCGGAAAATTGCAATAACAACCGGTATCCTTATTATGTAAAATTTGCAGGTCATGTGGCTGCAATCGTTGCTCCTATACATGTACCAACCAATGGGACCATTCACAAATATTCAGTTTTGAAAATTAATAGGTTTGCAATAAAGACATTCGGTATTCCTTAGCCTACATCGAAAACAAATTGTTTATACTCTTTAAGGGCCATATGAAATGTTTACGCTAACTAGCAACCTGGCAAATCTTTATACCTGATAAAGAGTATCGGTGTGGTAGGTTGCGGATGTTTGCTAAAGAGTAATAAGCATTAGTGTAGATTTGACAACCTCCGTTGTCACTTTACATAACCGCACTTACTTTTGTCAGGTTGCCAGTTGTACAATTTTTTCATGTCAAATTACATATCTTATCATGCGGCCAAGACGAATAGGAATATATATTTTTTCTGGTACAGCCATGTTGGTTACATGTCAACAAGGGTCTAGTTTATGAGCCTAATGTTCTGTTGACATGTTCCGCAAATAACTTCCAGGTCAAGGAGACATCTTCTACCTGCAGAGCGATTTGATGAATTGTTCAACGATAATAAAAATTTAAAAAGAAAAACGGAAAGTATGGCGCCGAATTCACCCAGCTGGTACTACCCGCACTATGACGTGAACTTATATGGGCAAAAAAGGAGTCAAAATGAGTGAATTAGTACTGCTTTACGCTTTAAGGTCTTCAAAATAATGACGTCAAAAAATATATGGACAGAATGGAAAACTTAACACGCGGGAAGTTATCCCATCGTTAAACGGTTTCACGTCATTAGTTAACTCCAGAGGAGTGGTCGATAATTGCGCTTCTTATAGCAACAGTAGATGCCGAACGGAAATGCATTTTTTATATAATAAGCTTACGGCAATACATCCACCAGAATTTTCACTAGATCACACCCCTATGTATTAAAAATCCAGTTTCGGTAAATATTAATGTATGATACAGCTGCTTAGATTCTAACATTTAGAACATTTTTCTCTATCACAACTACAATATTATATATGTTATTATTTCATTAAAATGCAGTTCTAACTGGTTTATGTGGAATAACAACCAACTTGGTGCAATTACTCGGTTCCTTTCAACACAAAATTGCAATTTTTTGGGGTAGTGTGTAGTTTTATTACCGGCAAGTGACCTTGGGTCAACCTATGTCAAATCAACGATGTTTTGGACATAAAAAAGCCATACCAGGCCTTCGGGCTTTGAGGAAAGAGATTTTTCGGTTCCCAATACGTTAGGATCATGGGTGACTCATGTCCATGATTCCATAAAGTTACGATGTTATTGGTACCAGACTAAGATTGCACTTGCGTAACTTGAAGCGGTCCAGCATTGCACATCACTGCAGTGGTTTTATGCTTGGAGAATTCGTAGATTTCACTTGGTTGTGAGATTAGAACACTAATATTTTTGGGGTAACCAAGCATCTAAATTAAAGTTTAAACCGTCCCCAACGAGAACCCAAAGATAATTTTGGGCATAGTGTATTTTGAAGTATTGTGATTTGTAAGTAACCAAGATGCTTCAAAAGGCAATAAGAATTACCATTTTCAAGGTTTTTCGAACTTTTAAATCGCCTACAACTCGAAAACGGAGAGCTCTTGTTCAGAACGATCCAAAAACATAAAAGACGTCCAAAGTGAAAACAACGTTTTGTAATTTGTTTAAGAAAAAAATGAGCAAACAAATTTGCACGGGGTTACCGCCCGGCAAACACTTGGTTGATGAAGCGGCATCCAACAAATGTGATTACGATAAACAAAATCGAATCGTAAAAATGTCTCCCACGAATCGAGATTTTCGGCCCGTCTATATGGATATCAAAATATTTACTTGACATAGAATGATCCAACTAAAAATTGAAATGTTTCGATATATTTTAGGGAATACGATTAGTCTCCAATTTTTATAAGTAGAAATATTTATAGCGATGCGTTACAATTTTCGAATACAAAAATATACATTGAGTTCCAATATCTTACATCATAGAATATACGAATTACAATTACAGTAGTTGTAGTCTGGGATCCATGTAGCACAAATGTCAATCATACATTGAAATGTGCTATATTATACCACTGATTAACGTATTCTTCATAAAGATGCCCAACCCTATGCTGTATTTGGACGTTCACTTACAATTTCCATCGTTGCAGCCATGTTGCCGAGTAAGATCGCAGTTATTCCTTAGGCTCGGTTTTTCAATTGCAACTTGGCTGATAACCAAAAGTTAACTATCGGAAAGTGTTTCTCAATATCAAGTTTGTCCTGAAGCGGTGGTTGATTTCAATCAGATTATCATGTATGAGATAATTATAAAGTGTTTGTCCCGAGCTCACCCGCCACTACAAAGATTTTTCGTCCTTGGCATAGTAGTAACATTGTGAGAGAAAAATTATCAAAATTCAAGCAGTATTTGTCATGAAACATTATAAAAACATATCTCATCGTCAAAATTTTTCGCGATTACAATACTAGCTCGCCCAGTGGCTTAGGAAGTAAAATTGTACTTGTAACTTGTAGCATGAAATCAACCCCTGCTAATTCAGTGAATATAGGTTGTTTTATACTCGTAAGTTATAGTTTCGTTCTCCTGTTTTTTCATCAATTTTGAAGTTTTCTATAATTCTACAACATCTACGCTGTTTTCAAACCGGAAAAAGCAAACTCATTAAACAGTATTTGATGTATTACTTTATCAAGAGCGGAGCATATTTTGGTCATGATGGAAAAAATTGCGACCGCTCCGGTAACGCTCAGTGATGTACGTTCAGCAGAAAATGTATCGCTACAGTAGCCTCACGTTGCAATGAACGGAATAGGTCTTAGTTGTCATGGATTATACGATAACTGAGGCATAAAAAAGCGTTTATGGATTGATAACCAGACCTTAAAAAACGAATTCACAGGCAACGGATAGTTAACCTACAAGCTACGTAACTACCTAACTTGAAAGTTATACAGCGACTGAGAAACCGGGCCTTAGAATACAGACTCCTCTTTTCTTTCAAAAGAAATGCATTATTCTTAAACATGACATCAACCTTCCAAGGAAAGATCACTCCCCAACCCTGCTTGTAATTATTCCAGAGATTTCGAATTCTTAGAATTTCTCAACGACGAAAAAGCAAACCCATGGTACAAATGCTGACACCTAATGAGGATGGTCAACAGCAATCGATTACGATAAAAGTCGACTTTAGCCAGTTATGGTATAACTAATACGAGGGATTCGCCAAAAATATTTTTAAAATGGTGGCACTTCCGGTTGAACCGTAAGTAGATACCAAGTTGTTTATTTTGAATGGAACATCCTGTATCACACTGAATTTTTGAAATCTTCAAGATTATACATAAATACATTACCTGTGTAAAATCTTATACATAGCTGTAATCGTTTTTGAGATGTATCAAACTTTGTGTAAAAAATCACAAATGCAGGCGGTTCCATAAAAGCCATTTAATTTTTCTGTCGAACCATTTTTGTCCTTGTCGAACCATTTGTAACTGGTCCGCTATAGAAAGAGGCCTACTTTAGCAGACTTCAATCGGTATTTCAATAATTAGTAATACAGAGTGGTCAAAAAAACGGATTAAAATCATATAAAAAATGCCTAAAGTCAATTTCTTCAAATGTTTTTATAATTAATTTGAAAGAACGCGAATACAAAATCCAATTTATCTGGCACCAACTGATCCGCTTGAGGTAAATAATATTATTTGCCAACTAAAGCTAAATAAATCGCCAGGCCTTGATGGTATAACATCATACACGCTCAAACAAATCAGTAACAACATTTTAAGTGTATTATCGTACCTCATCCATACTTGCATAGACAAAGCTATATTCCCTGATGCACTAAAAACAGCACTAGTAAAGCCACTACACAAATCTGGAGAAAAGACACAAATTTCAAATTATAGACCAATCTCACTACTAAGCATTTTCTCAAAGATTTTTGAAAAAGTTTTGAAGGCCCGTTTTACTAATTTTATTGCTAAATAGAGACTTCTATCTAAGCAGCAATATGGTTTCCAAGAAGGAAAATCCACGCAAGATGCAATTGCAGTTTTGATGGAAAACGTGTATACCAGTCTAGACTTGGGAAACCCATCGGCCTGTGTCTTTATAGATTTAAAGAAGGCATTTGATACAGTTGAACACAAAGAATTACTAACTACTTTGGAGAATCTAGGATTTCGTGGAAAAACGCATACTTTACTCAAAAGCTACCTTTCAGATAGGAATCAATGTGTGAAAGTTAATAATTCCATCAGCGACTTGCACCATGTAACATACGGTATCCCACAAGGTACAGTCTTAGGACCTATCCTGTTCATGTATGTAAATGATATTTTTAACCTACACATGCACACGGTAAAATTATCGAGTTCGCAGATGATACGGCTGTTTTTTATAGCGAAAAATCTTGGGATATCTTAAAGACTCTTATTGAAGAGGATTTCAGAGTCATTATAAGCTTCTTCAATAATAAAATATTAACAATCAGTTATGAAAAAACTTTATATCTGACTTTTTCATGTGACGATAGGAACAGTCCTACATTCAATAACATACACATCAAATTGCCACCCATAGATGAAGTAGTAGTCCTAGAGCCAGCAAATCATATAAAATACCCAGGAATCATAATAGACAGCCACCTAAAATGGGACAAACAAATAGAAAGCTTAACGAAGAGATTAAGATGTCTTATACCGTAAAATGGTCCTACTTTGCTCCTACATGGGTAATTATGCTCCAATTCTGTAAAATACTTTGTCGTCTAGTACGTCGATTTCTTCAAGGCATGGCATTAAATTGTGAACGCATCCTAAACATCTGACATTTGAGTAGCAACACTGCAACAGAAAGATTTAATCCTCCATTGTTTTTCAATAGCAGGTGCCATTTTTGTGCGGGAGCTGAAATTGTCATTCGATTTGTATCCAAAAAAGCCACTTCTATCTTGAAAATCACATAGCGTGAAATGGTAAGTACATTTTCATGTTGCTTTGTATATATTCAGCTAATCAAAAATGTGAATATTTAAAAAAAATAACTAAGTTGTTTATTATATAACCTGCTGGGGTTACTTTGCGCCTGGAGCAAAGTAAACCCAAAATTATATGGTAAGCGAATAAACTAGAAATATGCATTTTCAATAATAATATTGACTTTTTTTATAAATAAAACTATTGTTTTGTTTCAGAAAAGATGCCGAGAAATTACAAGAAACGTTTAGGCTCCCGGAATTATAAGAATTATACCTAAGAAAATCTAAGAGCATGTCTAGCCTCTATAGAAAATAAAGAATCAACTCAAAGAAGAGCCAGTGAAGAATATGGTACTCCACGAAGAACTATCATCAACCGCTAAAACTATTGCGAACTAAAATGCCATCTCGACCACCTGGAGCTCCAACAACATTTTCGGACGAAGAAGAAGAATTGTTTGTAGATTGCATCTTAAGACTAAGCGAGTACGGTTTTCCTTTGACAGCTTTCGACCTTAGAATAGTCATTCGAACATATTTGGATATAATTGGCCGGAAAGTTACAAAATTTAGAGATAATTGTCCAGGTACTGAATGGGTTTCAAGTTTCTTGAAAAGACGTCCATATTTAACACAGAGATTTGCGGCCAACATAAAACGTAGCAGAGCAGCAGTTGACAAAGGGACTGTCATTGCCTACATAAAAAACTTGGAAGACGTGGTTAGAGACGTCCTTCCCGAAAACATATGGAACTTTGACGAAACTAACCTTTCAGATGATCCTGGTCAAAAGAAAATTATAACTAAGCGTGGTGCAAAATATCCGGAACTTATAAGGAACACATCCAAAAGTTCAACTTCTATAATGTTTGCTGGAAATGCTGTGGGGGAATTACTACCACCATACGTAGTGTACAAGTCCAAGCAACTGTGGAGTACATGGACAGAGCATGGACCAAAACATGTCAGATACAATAACAGTCCTTCAGGTTGGTTTGACATAAATATATTTAATGATTGGTTTTTTACCCAGATATTGCCAAGACTGAAGAAACAAGAGGGTCCCAGTTATTATAGGAGACAATTTGTCATCTCATATTTCTGTAGATGTCTTGAAAGCCTGTGACCAGAACAATATTAGATTTGTTTGCCTGCCTCCTCATAGCACCCATTTAACTCAGCCATTAGATGTTGCTTTTTTTCACCCAATGAAGGTGGCATGGAGGAAAATCCTCACCGAATGGAAACCAAGTGTACAAGGCAGTCGAAACAGTAGTTCAAAAAAGCAGTTTTCCAGTTCTGTTGAACAGACTCATTGATATCTTGGAACCAACGAGGGAGGCTAATCTCATTTCGGGTTTCCGAAAATGTGGAATTTTTCCTCTTGCGTCAATCCATTATTGGACAGGTTACCTAGAACTATTGACCAGACTGCTTTACAAGATTCTTTTCTACAAAGTCTTGAAGCTAAGAGACTAGAATGGACGAACGGTGGAACTACGAAACGACGTCGAACAAAACTAACTATCACTCCTGGGAAAAGCGTAACTGAAGAATTAACACGTTAACGGCCACGTGCTTATCTGTGAAATTTACCACCGGGCCAATTTATAATTTTCATTGTTTTGAGATGCTTTTAGGTAGTATTGCTCAAATGTCTGGAGTATTTTGTGAAAATATTCGAAGTTTTGGAAAAAAATGCAAAATAAGGATCGGTCCCCAGGGACCGCCGTGGCCCACCAAGAAAACTATATTGCAAAAGCACGGTCGGTCCCGCCCGGCGGTCCTTCGGTAATGTCCGCCTTTCATCGATGAGCGCTAAAACGAAGCACGTGGTCATTTCGTTGCGTTTCAGTTACTGTAGCGGGTCGGTGCAGCTAGGCGTCAGCGCATTTATTCATGATAATGGATCACGTAAATGTTCGCAATCGGACTAAACAGTTGATATTGTTGTCAAAACTTCAGAAGTGTGATGAAAATGATGGTAAGAAATTACCTACAGGGATATCTTTCGGAAGTGAAACTGGCTTTTTTCACTTTTGTTGTATAACCCTGTACAATAAACAATTTTGTTAAGAGGTTAAGTTCTGCTAAATTTCAGAATCCAGCGAAGATGAACCAAGCATTTATGGCTCATCGGACTCAGTTGTAGATCCAAACTATTCCCCTAGTGAAGATTCTGTGTCGAGCGAGTTGGACAACGTTCCCACAACCAGCAACACTGATAAGAAGGTAAGTCTAAAATATTTTCCAAACATCTGTGTTCTAATTGTATTTTTTTTTTTAGAAAACACTTCCTAACGCTCAGAGTCCACCGGAAGTTTCAAATATTGGTTCAAATCTCGTAGAACAATCAAGTAGTTCAGATTCGGAAGAAAATCAGAGTAATGTGGTGCAAGTGGCAGGATGGACTATACCACAAGGCCATCACTTGGTTTTTCCAAAGAATTTTGTTCAAGACCAAGGAATTTGTCCAGAAATAGCAGCTGCCTTGCAAGGAGGTACTCCGTACGATTTCTTTTCGCTTTTTCTGGATAACGAAATTTTAGACCTGATGGTAGAACAGACTAACCTTTATGCAACGCAAGTAATCTGCTCAGCTAACGATGTTCCACACTCATCAAGACTTCATAAATGGTCTCCTACTGACAGACAAGAAATGCAAAGATTTTTAGGCCTAGTCGGATATATGGGTCTTGTACGAATGCCAACAGTTCGCCACTATTGGAGCAGAAAACCCCTGTTTCGCAATGAATTTATATCAAGTGTTATGAGCAGAAATCGTTTCGAATTGCTTCTACAACTATGGCATTTTTCTGATAACCAAATATGCCCTGAAGGTGATCGTCTCTACAAAGTACAGCCCCTTATTGATAAACTTGTCAAAAAATTTCAAACCTCATATACTCCTGGTAGTACAGTCTGTGTAGATGAGTCACTAGTCCCCTTTCGAGGTCGCCTTGTTTTCAAACAATACATCCCTCTTAAAACGCATAAATATGGCATCAAAGTATTCAAGCTCTGTTCTTCAGAAGGCTATACTTATAACATGAAGGTATATTGTGGGAAAGAAAAGGATGCTGGTGCTAGCGTTCCAACGAATATTGTTTTATCTCTTGCTGAAAATCTGCTAGATAGTGGAAGAACTATCGTTACTGATAACTATTACACTAGCTTAGATCTAGCTAATAAATTACTCGATAGACAGACACATCTTATTGGTACCTTGCGATCCAACAGACGCGGTAACCCGAAGGAAGTTACGCAGAAAAAACTTCAGCGTGGCGAAATTGTTGCAAGGGAAAATGAGCGTGGCATATGCGTAATGAAATGGCGGGATAAAAGAGACGTATTACTACTGTCTACTAAACATACAGATGTCATGCAAGATATTCAAATCCGAAATGAAACAAAATCTAAGCCTTTGGCTATTATTGATTATAATAAAGGAAAAAGTTCCATAGATCTTTCCGATCAAATGGCATCTTACAATTCCGCATTACGTAAGACCATCAAGTGGTACAGAAAGCTAGCTATAGAGGTAATTTTTGGTACCTGTATGGTCAATGCGCATTACTTTTATAAAAAAATTACTGATTCGTCGATGTCTATAACAGATTTCCGCGAAAGCGTTGTGATGGACATGATGTCACAAGTCCAAGGTAATATGAGTGACGATCAACAGATTTCAGCATCTAATTGTTCGACTAATAAGAGGAAACGGAATTCAGAACATTGTTTTAGGAAAAAAGAGGGAGCTGTACACAAAGTTCGAAAATATTGTGTCGGCTGTTATAATAAAAAAACCAAAGGTGAAATAGCCAAAAACAATGTAAAAAAAGTTAGCACTTATTGCAGTGACTGTGTTGATCAACCTCATTTTTGCTTAGAATGTTTTAACATATTTCATAAGCAATAATTATGTTTTTCTATGTTTACTGTCTCTAAAATATTTTATACGCATTTATTGTTCTGAAAAGTGTGAAAAATAAAGTATTACGCTTCACTTTAGTACTTTTATTTATCAAAAAATGATATAATAAAAAATACATGTGAAACTTGATTAAACAAAAATATATAAAAAAATTATTATGTATGCATCATCAACTGGGGCCAAGCGGTCCCATATGAGCCGCTAAATGTATTAAATGAGCGGTCCGGTGGCCTGAACAGCACGAAATAGCAGTCACCGACAGGTGGTCCCGAGGGACCGCCGTGGCCTGATGGTAAGGGAAGCTGGCGGGCCCCTGGGACCGACGTGGCCGTTAACGTGTTAAGCACACTTTCGGATGATAAAGAAAATGGAGAGTTAGCAAAGCCTTCAACGGCACGAAGACCACGTCACCGTAGAGCTAGTAGCGAAAGCAGCTACGCAGATAGTGTCAACATGACAGTTCACGACTCATCAGATGTTGCTTCTCTTGATGATTTAGAAAATCTTGAAGTTCAGTTTAATGCACAGGCTGAAGGTTGTGGCAAGAATATTAATTTTAAGCCACTCGTGAAGGCAGTTGGGCAATATGTAGTATTCACGTATGAAGGAGAAATTTTTCCTGGTAAAATTACAAAAATCTGTGAACAGGGACCATACGTTTCTTCAATGAAAAAGTCGTTGAAATCCTGGAAATGGCCTGAGCTTCCGGATGAAATCCAGTATCATTGGGAGGAAATTTTGGGATGTATTGATCCGCCTAAAAAAGTCAGTCTTAGACGTGACATCTACTCAGTCCCAGAACTAAACCAAATTTGGAGGTCTTAAATATTTGTGTACCATATACAAAACGTTAGTACAACCGTTGTTAACTTATGGAATTTTGGCATGGGGACCGGTGCTGAATAAATACTACAGGAAACTAGAAATAACTCAGAAATGGATTCTTAAAATCATGTTCCACAAAACTAACACCTATCCAACCGATATGATATATAAGGTATCCAAGATATGTGATTGTAGGCAACTCTATTTTGAGAGTGTGTTCACATATATTACAAAACATAAGCATTTATTAAATTTCCTCCCACATGACCATCACACCAGATCCAAAGATCCTTCAGTGCGGATACAAAAGCCTAAAAAGACCATAGGTCAGAGGAGTTTCACTTTTCTAGGACCAAAAATATATAACTTAATCACCCCTCAGATAAAACATATTAAAAATACAAAGGTTATGAAAAAGCATCTAAGACTGTGGATTTTGGACCAGCATAGGCTCAAGATTCATCAAGCGATTGATATCAAAAATATCTACTACTACTGAAAGCGGAAATCTCTCTCAAGATTATTGAAATTTCAAAATGAAAAAAAAATGTATATATCAAACTGATTTAAATTCTTACCTCCTGAATTATTGCATTTTATGACTTATTTTTACCAATTTTTGTTCTTGTCTAATCACCTGTCTTTTGTTTCAATATTGTCTCTATCCCGATTACGTCTACGTCCCGATTTTGCGTCTCCGTCCCGATTGTGTCTTTTTAAAAATTTCACCAGGACTTGTCTAATAAATTTTATATATATATATATATATATATATATATATATTTTTGTTTTGTTTTTTTTTTTAGTCTTAAGTTATTTATACATGAGCTCATGCCCAAGTACAAGTTTCTGCGAAACTTTTTTGGGTCCATTCGTTTATTGTATAATATTGTCTTTCATCTACTACTGCTATACTTTTTCTTTTGCAATAAACTTATTATTATTTGATCATCGCAATAAAAAAATAAGGACATATTTGTATAAGATTATCTACTCCGCAAATTCGTAGTTTTCTATACGGTTCTTTTGTTATCCGAGTCGTTTGAAAGGTTAAAAATAATTTTAGATACTTGTTGACATTCCCCTCTAATAATAAACAAAATGTTTAATAATATCGTGTTTGTTATTTATTACTGCATGGGTCAATTTATAAAGGTTTTTCAGGAGGCACATGGCGAAATATGCAATTACTATCGTGCGCACTTACATATGCATCGCTGCCGCTATTATTCTAACCCTATTTATACATATTTCAACGACGTGGTAGTGAATATCGCGCGGACGAAATAGGTTCGCGGCATGTTTTTCTTTTTTTGTCCTTTCTTTTTCATGTGCCACCACGTATGAAACAGTCATACCTCATGACTCATTTTTTTTACTTCACCCGCCATGGCCATAAGAAAACAGTATGGAGAGACAGAAAACAAGTATTTGCAAACATTTCCTAAACTATAGTTGTAGTCTCCGTTCTTCGCGGTTACATCAACGCCTTATAAAATAAGTAAACAGATCGAGTCTCCGTACCATAGGCGGATCTTAATCTTCAGCGCATCTGCTACTCTCTCCAATACGCATGAAGTGGGTAAAAGGGGACCGCTGTTTTCATTTTCTTCCTGCAAATACTCTAATAAATTTAGCACAAGCTGTCAGCCTTCTCCATTGATCGTATTTCCGGACATTGTACAATTTTATATTGAAGATTGATAACAGGACAACTCGAATTGCCCGCCGATGTCAAGTTTTTTTTTTGCACTAGAACATTGCGTCCCATTAGCCAGATCCAATCTTTGTATATGTACGTATATCTAATTTTGACAAACACACGACGTCATAACATCCATGGCTTCGAAAATATGATTTCCGAAGGCGAGAGTCAAGTAGGTTGTCACTCTGAAAAATATGATTGAAGGGCACTCATACGTAACGGCAAAGTTTTCGAGACGGAGACACACAACTAAAAATGTATGTCTCTGAGCTTACCGAACAACCACAGGGGTAAGTTGCGTGTGAATGTATGAGCGAGATGGAGATATATAAAGGAATACTGGTAGTCTTACTTTGACCCGCCAAGAACGGTGACTACAACTATACTTATTTGCGAAGTATATAACCTTCCTGAAAACTATGGTATTTTTATTTATTTAGATGATATCATGAAAACAGAGGGCTACCATTTTAAAAAATGGAGTTATGACATTATTGAAATTTAATTATTTTTTGACTACCTTGTATCATTAATTATCAAATATCGAATGTAGTCCACTGTAGCATTCTTCCTCCTATAAGAAAACAGTTACAAATCATTCGACAAAGACAAAAATATACGAGAAATTAGTTTTTATGGACCTGTATTTATGATTTTTTACAAAAAATATGATACTTCTCAAAAACGGTTATCGGATATTATACATGGAATGTATCTAGAATACAGCGGAGGTTTTAAAAATTCGAAAATATACAGGGTGTTCCATTCAAAATAAGCAACTTTGCATCTACTTCCGATTCAACCGGAAGTGCCATCATTCTGAAAAAAAATTATCCGAATTCCTCACAACCCCAAGTTTTCATAATTATCAAATGTCAACTTTCCTAGTAATCGATCGCGTTCCACATGGGACACTCAGTTGACAGTTGCAAGCGTAAGTGTTTGGTGGCACCAATATACGTATGGTTATTCTCGCTCAGGCACAACTTTCAATTGGACATGCGTATCTTATGGTGGAATATGTTAATCAATAATATGATGGACATTTAGCAGTTCATTAGGTTCCAAACTCTAAACTGTTCAATATCATATGGCATACCTCAAGGAAGCTAAACACAGAAGGTGAAGCGTATAAAGTAAACATCAACAGTAGGTACTTGATTAATAGATGTCGAAGGCCTTTACACAAATATGAACATATACAGATATCTTGCCCCTATGGCCCCATTTCCACGATTTAATCATATAAGGCTACAAAAATGTAACAAAAACTTTCGTATCATTTTTAATGATGTGATATTAACATTAATCGCTTTCTCTTTCATAAAAAAGTGACAAATTTCTCAGAAATATCAAATTTTCAGATAGATCAAGTGTATTATTCAATACTCATTTTGCTTATAATGAGATTCATTTAGAGGCCACCTTTTTCAAAGGAAAAAAGAACTGATATCAGCGGCAGTATTACGTAACTGCAAAATTAAGGATGGGGATTATCAGATACAATCTGACACTCATGATCGCCTTCATTTCTACTACATGCTACCTGTCATTCACTTATTCATTCACATATATGCCGCCTAGATCATATGATTTCACACCTCTAGACAATTTTCTTTTGCGTTATGTTTACATGGATAAAAGGATGCACTAAAGGAGTTGAAAATCACCATTACTCGAGGAATTCACAAATACCGATAGAAATAAACGAGCGCGAAAATTAAAATCCCAAAATGAACCACAGTGAAAAATTACTTTTCAAAATGAAATGTCAGTGATGATTTTTTATTTAATAATAAAGATAATCCGTTACAGTTACGTGTTTTTACTTGTATATGCATATGCTCTAAATGAATAACCCATTAGGCCATTACTGTATTGCTGAATGGAAAAATTCTGAAATTCGTCGATAAGAATTCATTGGTCTTTTATGGGCTCAAAATAATATTACGCACATTTGATTACCCGTTATCGGGTCGAGAAATGAAGTTTGTCAAAGTTGCCCCAACAGCGGTGACTTTTTCTAGAAAGAGAAGTTATAGTTTTGAATCGCTTGATTCACTAGGTACTAAATATACATTTTTCTTCCCTTAACTTTCACAAAAAAGTTAAGAAAAATAAAATGTTCATGCACTACAAAGTTTTTGCTCATTTCGACACCTTCCAAGAACTTTCCCAATGAAACAGACGCTTTTGTACGTCAAAACGAATTACAAACAAAAATGATTATTTCTTCATAACGACAATTTCCGTAGCGTAGTTTCTAACTAACTGACATGTTATACGACAATAGCGACAATTCCAATATTCAGTGTCACCTGAAAACGGCTTGATGACACGTCACTTCATTTCTTTAGGTGCTCAAATGGTGTAGAACAATCAAATTTGAAGAGACTGCATAATGAACATGACGCATTACACAGCTGACAATGATTTGGGTGGATAATTTTTTGTTATAGTCGCGTCAAATTTTCCATGGTGGTATGATTGTGAATGGGAACTTTAACGCATGGGCCATGACGTCGAGCCACGGCGTCATCGTATATTATCCAAATGTCGAAAGCATTCAAACTCCGCTGGCCTAACAGCGCACTGTCAACGCCGCGTATTTAGCATCCATTAGTATCACGAAATAAAAAGATACTAAGACGCATATAACATCCGTATAACATGTCACTATAGTATGCATTTTAGAGGTACTCTGAGCCATCATCGGTCAAGCGCGAGCGTCAAGATAGAGCCAAGCAGTCGCAGTGGCGTTGTATATATTGTAGCTTGAAGTGTTAATTTTTTTGTTCCCGCCAATTGCTGTTATTGGTTAAAATACTTCGTCAAGTTTGAGCTACACTTGATTAGTGCCTGAAAGATACCCTTTCATCTTGCTCTGTTTATAAAATAAACTGGAGAACATTAGTTCTTTTGCCCGGTTCAAATGTAACTTACAGGGGTAATAAACAAAAATAATAAACAAAACTGAGGAATTCGATTTCGACAAGTGTATGACACTCGCCTCCGTAAGTAACCTGAAAAGTACATTAGAGGACTTTTGGGCCAGTTTATGTCCTGAAACATGGGACAGTTTGGTGAACTGTATGACCGCGGGACTTTTTGACAATTAATTTTAATAACTGATGGACCAACCTATTATTAAGAAGAACGCGATTTATTTTTGATAAAAAAAATGTAGTGAAACTATGAGTATGCACCACTCACCCCCATATATATTTGTATTTTTCATTAGTTAATGTCAAATTACCTAATTCGTTGTTAAATTTTATTAATTATTTTCACCCCTGTCAGTTAAATGGTTACATTTTAACCGACCAAAAAAAACCGAAATTCGTTGGTAGGGCTATAGTTATGCTCTCTAGTTTATATTAAGGAAATCAAGATCATCACACTTGATCAAAAAGACCTACTTGGTATCCTAGAAGTCGACGTCAAGCCGGAAACGGGGCATAGGCCAATTCACAATAGTTACCAGGAAAATATAAAAAAATCTAATCTAATCTAGGGTTGAAAAAATCAGTAAAATCTACACCCTGTGACGATCTTCTAGTTCCCAATACTACAAATTTTCTACGTCCGAATAGACCCTAGGTTTGGAATGTAAATGATGGAAATAAAATTAAGAATTCCCCAAAATGGGTTAGTTGTGGAATAATGTTGATTTTATCTGGGTTTTGAAAGTTATACACACCTTAATCACGACATTTGCAGAATGTTACCAAATTGAAGAAATATAAGAAAATTTCACTCTTACCCTTTCCTTTTACTTTAGAAATTGAGTCGCCGCGCGCGTGCATTTGACGTTAGGTAGGGTTGTGGAGTTCGAAGTCAAAGATACAAATTTAATTATTAAAAAAATATCCATCAACACAAAAACTTTTGAAGTAATGAAATCTGGCAACATCGCACAGCCTATGAGAACAAACATTGAATAAAAACCTATTATATAGTAAAATATTTCAAAAATGTCATGTTCGTGCTCATTTTCAATTTCATTTCTTTCATCTACACCGAAAAACTAGGGTCTTTTTTCATCAAATTCGGCTGGTGTAGCAAAGCTAGAGAATTACCCTGCTCGTCATCCCGATCACTCACTTTTTGTGAATGTGCACCGTTTACTCTCAGAGGGACGATTCCCAAATCAAGCATATGGTGCAGAAGAATTTTCTTTCCTTACGAGGACGTCGTACTACAAGCAGTTGAAAGAGACTCGAGTACTTCAGTACGTCAAATAGAAGCAAGCACGAAAGTACCCAAAAGAATAGCCCACCGAACCCCAGGATTATCTTATAAAAGTTGAGTTTTGTCAAACAATGTTACTGAGGTACCGGGAAGATCCACGATTTTGAGAGAAGATTTTATGGACCGGTGAGTCGACATTCAAAAAAGATAGTTACATGAATCTATACAACTTACACGAAGATCCACATTTGATGAGACAAGATAGATCACAGTATAGTTTTAAAGTGAATATGTGAACCGGGATTCTATATGGGAGAATCGTTGTACCTTTTGAGCTGCCAGCGTTGTTGAATGGCGAAATTAGTTTGACTTTCGGGAACTAAAATATCATTACAGGCTGTAGGTTTTTCGATTTTTTAAAGCCTGTAATTTGAAAAGTACACGACTTAGACTTTTTTTATATTTTTCAGATTACTATTATGGCTTGGCCTATCCCCCGTTTCCGGCTTCATATCGACTTCTCGGACACCCTATACAGACGGCCCAAGACACTTATACATATAAATTCGCAGTATAACAAAATATTAAGAACCAACTTAAAGTCGAACCATGCGATTACAAAAAAATGTTGTTCCTCCATCTCTGAATCTAGACTGGTACTGCATTTCTCCCAGTGGAAAGGACCTTGCAAGTGCTGCCTACTACGATGGTACGACGTGAGCTCAGTACGACTCCTCTCAAGGAGAGGCACCTCGGCCTATGCCGCCACTACGTGGGGGTCCAGAGGGGCAACGTCCTCATAGGATCACGCAGCAGCGACAGTACCTTTGACGGGTACCACCAGCCGTCGGTGGGGGTGTTACCGGGGCAAAGTAGGCGTGCACTTTTATGTTCGGCAAGTGATTCTGTAAAGAAGGAAATATGTCAAAAAGATTCAGAATTTACAGTGTCGGATACTCCGGGTTGTTACTACCCGCGCTATGACGTGAAAATCGAAAGGCTTAAAAGGTAGTTTGCAAAGGAGAGAATACGATGTCATATAGGTAGAGATGATACTACTTTATCGTAATCATTCATATATTGAATACAGTAATTAGGTGATGTAGTAATGGTACTGCGATCGCCGCCCCACTTTGGGTTAGTGTGGAACTACTCGCACTTTGAGGCAAACACGGAAATATCGAATATTAACTATGAAACAATGGAGGTACGACTGCTTCTGCGCATGGGTCCTTATGAGATCATGCAGCAGCGATAGTACCTTCGACGAGTACCACCTGCCATCGGTGGTGGTTCCATCGGTGCGAAGTAGACGTTATCTTTGACGTTCGGCAGATGATAAATATATTCAGAAAATATGGTGTCGAATACACTGGGTTGTTAGTACCCACGCTGTCATAAACATCGAATTGCGAAGACGCAGTTCTGCAAAAAAGAGAATATGATGCCAAACAAACTGCATTGCTGCTTCAACTTAAGCAACGAAATATTCGCGATGTGGATTAATGATTTGGTACTACCCACACTTCGACTCAAACATGGAAATTTGAATATCAACAAATGAGCACGACTACTGCTGCAAGGGGTCCAGAAAGCCGACGTCCTAATATGATCATGCAACAGTGTAGTTTTAATTTTCTCCTGGCCTTATTTGTGTGTGATTTCAAAATAATTTGCACATTAGCATTGCCACTTTTTCACCTCATTAACATTGCCACTTTTTCACCTCTGCAAGATGGAATAATTATAATTTCAATATGACGTTTCGTCTCTTGCGCTGCATCAACTTTATTTTTTCTTACGGATGACATATTGGATATTTGCACAAGTGAATAGTTTTTTATTCTGATTCCAAAAATTCCGTACATTGACATACTTTAGTTTTAAAATGAACAGGATTTCCAGGTAGGCCAATTATGAGATAGTCATTTGCCAGATTTGCGCCAAATCGTTCTTATTTTTACATGACTTTATTTTTGATGGGATTTCAAAATAAATTGCATGTTGTAATTATCACTTTTTTTCTCTACAAGATGGCATAGTCAAATTTTCAGTTTGAGGTATCTTCTTTCGACTTCCAACTTTCTCAGGATTTTGTACAGTTAAATAAAGTTTTCAGTCCTAAGTTCAATCATGTATTTCCTTCGTTGGCCGTGAATTTATTGTTCGAACGGAAACCGTAATGAAATAAAAAGGTGAGGACAATTAATGACAGTTTTGAAGACCTCAAATTGAACATAGTAACAGAGTTTAGAAGACCGAGAAGAAGTAAAATGTACAGATAAGAGTCTACTTCTGCATATTAATGATTGTTATTATCATCAATAAAATTGTCATTTTGTGTTCAGGTGTCAATATACCTTTTTATTTACATATAATTTTCGTTCCAACAACAAATTAATGACCAATTAAGAAAATCCATCGCTCAATTTAGGGCATAAAGGTTCATTCAAATGACAACAGACAAAGTTGGTGATCCAACATCGACTACCACATGGTAGTAGCCTAATATTTTTTATCTGGTCCGCTGTATATTTATATTCAAATATGTATGATTATTATATCTAATAGATACTTAGAATTAACGATATCAAAAGTATTTTATGTCCAGTTACCATCGGTTCTTGAAGATGAAAGCCTTCCGCTTCGTAGTTCATCTTCAATGCCTCCTGAAAATGCCTTAAACCACCGAAAACCCTGGGCTCCTGACAAAACACGTAGGCCTGATGAAGTTTATCAAGAGTTTCCGTTGCGTTGTGCTCAAGTCTGAAACAAGACCTGATAGCACACCGTTGCTCGAAATTGACACAATAGGGAAAACTCTTTCACAAAAAAGTCCCTACGGTCAAAAAAATAAATCGAGCGAGTTCAAACTTGTACTGAAGGCGGATCACATGTTCCCCCGTCTGCCCTCCAAGCCAGATCGAACGCTACTTACGCACTTAATTTACAGACCTCGTCTATGTCATTTTGGGAATTTTTCGCGATGACAATACTTTCTCTCGCCAGTGGCATGGGAAGTAAAAACAATCTCATATAAAGAGGATCAAAAAATCGACTAGTATCACCAAGCCGAATGAAACACGGTTTTGACAAAATTCCCCTGATTCATCCAGCTTTGTTCTATAATATAATATATAATAATCCCAAGTCAGTGTGCACCCTGAATTCAATCAAAATAAACGATAAAAAAAATTAAGACATACAGGGTTTGTCCGGAAAGTAATAGGACTCATTTTCTTCCGCCATGACTGTACTTGCGGCGCACCGACTGGATTCGGTAGAAGGCGTTCCTAGCTAACGAATGAGCGGCTGGTCAGTTGTCTCCGAGCACTTGAAGAGTCAGGACAGGCATTTTCGCGCGACGTGTTTCTGTGAGTGGTGCAAGCCGAAAATGTAGCGTTTGTTAGAGCAGAGGTACGCGATTAAATTCTGTGTGAAACTGGGTAAATCTGCGACAGAGACGTTTGATATGATCAAGCAGGCTTACCAGGCACCAGGCCTTTTTGGAGGGCCGGGAAGAGGTCGCTGATGAAGACCGTGCTGGAAGACCTTCGACTTCGACAAACACCGATAATGTGACTCGTGTGCGCAAAGTTTTGAACTCAGACCGTCGACTAAGTATTCGTTTAATTGCCCAAATGTTAAATTTACCAAAATCTGTGGTTCATGACATTGTGACACAGCATTTGAACATGCGCAAGGTGTGCGCGAAGATGGTCCCAAAAGTGCTCACTGACGACCAGAAATTGCGGCGAGTGCAAGTGTGCCAAGAAAATTTGAACATGTGTGAAAGTGACCCCCAATTTTTGAATAACGTAATCACAGGTGACGAGTCGTGGATCTTTGAGTATGATCCCGAGACAAAGAGGCCATCTTCTGAGTGGCACACGACGGCGTCTCGCCCAAAAAAGGGAAGAATGAGCAAATCCAAAGTGAAAACGATGCTCATTGTCTTTTTTGACATCAGAGTCATCGTCCACCGTGAATTTGTTCCTCCTGGACAAACCGTCAACGCCAAGTTTTACGTGGAAGTGCTCAGGAGACTCAAATGAAGGGTCAGTCGGGTCCGACAAGACATCGCAGCCGACTGGAAGTTGCACCACGACAACGCCTCGGCTCACACCGCCTTTCTTGTGAATAGCTACCTGACCAAGGCCGGCATCCCAACGCTTCCGCAGCCGCCCTACAGCCCAGATGTGGCCCACCCGGATTTTTTTTTTGGTTCCTCGCCTGAAAAGGCCGATGAAAGGTAAGCATTTTTAGACGACAGAGGGAATCCAAGCAGCATGCACCGCGGCTCTCAAGGCTATTCCGGAGAATGCCTTCCGTGACGCCTTCAATGCTTGGAAATCGCGCTGGCAGCGCTGCATCGACGCAGAAGGAGCCTATTTTGAAAGTTTTTAAACAATTGTAACGATTGGCTCAATAAATTTTTTTAAATCAACTCAGTCCTATTACTTTCCGGACAAACCCTGTATTCGCGGTACGCGGTCTGTAAAGTAAATGACGAGACTGTTATTTTTAGAGCAAGTTCAAACTGGTACTGAACGAGGATCACATATTCCCCTGTCTCCCCACCAAGCCCGGCGCCTCCAATGTTGCCAGATCGAACGCTACGTTACTAGTCACATCACTTCATTTACAGACTTTGTACGTAAGTTCAGCTGCCGGCAGTCCTTTTTAGATAGTTGTTGAACCTCCAAACTATATCTGCGACTCCTCTTTATCTCTAATATCGACAGTCCTTTTTCTGAGATATGTTCTCTCATAAATCACCACCTCTTAGTGACTGACTTATTTCTTAAAACCTAGCATAGAAATGCACGCTCCTGGCTCGTTTTTCTTGTACAATGCTAAGTGTCGGCAAAAAGTCGAAAAAGTCCACAGGCATACCGTTCTATCATGTAGCTTTAAAAATCGAAGATGGAAGATCATTGCAAATCAGCAGCTACTGTGGAGTGGTCAAAGAAACTACTTTCTGGCTTCAATTGTGCCTTATACTTTTTTAATTCCTGGAAAAGCATGACCAGTAATTATCTCTTTTTACGATCAGGCCCTTATAGATATGGCTCTACTTTTTTTAATTTATTTTATAGGCAGTAAATCGGTCGGGTCGCGCTACAGAGTCTTGCATTAGTTGTCTGAAAACGATTTTAAAGCCTACTTTGATGTAATTATTCCGATTCGCTTCCAAAAAAACCTATTTCACCCAGCTCGTTGGTACTAATAGATATTTGGACGCGCCTCATAGGGGGTTATTTTTTTCACTACAGGAGTTGAAACACAAAGTCAGTATGATACTTACCTATAAAGAAATGATAAAAAAATAAATTTTCTAAATACCTTTGCTGGGTTACTGGGAATCGATCAGTTCTTTGGTATTTATGTATTATGTATTTTCAGATTTTTTTAAGTAATATATAACACAAATATTATCAAAAAAATAAAAATAATAAATAAAAAAAACATAAAAACATTTGCAATACATTCTGGAGTCGGGTCACCCGCGGTCCGTAGGGATGGTACCGGAGGGACGTTCGCGTGCACGATCACCCTAATTTTCGGCACGTGTATCTGCAAAGAAAACTCATCTCAATCGGGAACTTACCGCTCTTTAACGTCATGCAACAAAACACCACACTAAACAGGTAACACCACTACTTTGACGGAAAGACCAACATACAGTGCTTTTCCGAAAGATATCTCATTCCAACTTATTTTTTGAACGGGTCAAGTTAGCGAGCTGAAATTCTGGGGGATGAAATCAACACATGCTCATCACAGATTATTGCTACACTTCAGATAATACACTACTTTCTATTACCACCTGAAGAAAGTTGTCGCAACTAAGCCACCAGAAACGACAATTTATTTACAAGAAACGACACATGTCAACAACACTCGCGCTCTATATTATCAGTACGACACACCACCTTTTCATACCCTTATGGAGGGTAATCTGGAAAGCTAGAATCGGATGGCGCTAGATAGGCTGGAAATCTTATCTGTTATATCTAAGGTTATGAACAGACTATTGCTAATCAGCTGTTTACGTCAATAGATGTCAAAACGTGAAAAATAGGTAACATTTCTATCGAATCTTTTTCCGCAAGCAAAATCGAACAAGCAATAGATGATATGTTATCTCAACCAATAGTAACTGATCCCAATAACACTTTTTTAATTCAATTAGAATAATTTGAATGGAGAGCATTTTATAAATCTAACGTTTATTTTTTGAATCTACCGCCTTGTCGCCTTTACGACTTTCCATTGAGCAATGTAACGTGGCAGCACTGGACAGCTGATAAAAGGCAGTTCCGATTTCAAATATACTCAGTGACAATAAAAGTGATACACCCAGAAAAAAATATTTCTTCAACTTGATTTTTTGGCAATGAGGTAGTCTCACATCAAGAATGAAACGATAACATTCTCACGAAATTTTATTGACAAGTAATAAGAAAAAAATAATAATGTGTTGGGCGACCCCGCAGCTGAATACACTTCTGTATACATCTAGGCCTCGACAAAATGAGATTATCGATGACTGGTTGTGGCACCATATTTCAAGTAATTCGAACTTCGTGGATGAGATGTGGCAGAGTCTGTGGCGGATGGTGCAAAGTGGACAGCCTCCTCCCCATTATTTCCTGCACATGTTCGATGAGATTTAAATCCGGTGAACGGGGTGGCCATGGCAAAACATTAACGCCTGCTTCTTGAAGAAAGTCCCTAGTATGACTAGCAATATGGGGTCGTGATTGTTTTGCTGAAAAAGGACGTGTGGACGGCCCTCTAGATACGGCAGTGAAGTGGTAGGTAGGACATCATCAACATAACATAACGCGCAGCAGTGCATATTACCTTGAACAAAGAGAAGGGGTGATCGCGTACCAACAGTCCTGTGTACATGCCTCTCAACAGCAAATCCAATATCACGTCGTTCTCCACGGCGGCGTCTTACACTTCTACGACCATCGTGCGTATCTAGACAGAATCGCGATTCGTACCTGAAGATGACATTATGCCATGCATCTCAATGTTGCAGTTCTGTGTTCCAATTTAAACGTTGACGACAGTGGTCCGCAGTCAGAGGAAGCACTAACCGTGGACGGCATGAAAAAAGTCCAAAGGCTCGAATGCGGCGATAGAGTGTGCGCATTTTAACAGGTCTACCTTATTTTCGAAACCATTGGTCAACGATCTGACGGGTAGTAGCAAAACGGTCTCGTAGGGCTAGTTGTCTGAAGCGCCTATCTTGACGCTCTGTAGTACGCCTCGGAGGACCAGTTGGCCTTCTTCGTGTTCCTCTAGCTTCCATCCACACACACGCATTACCGTCATTGCAGAACAATTAATACGGCGGCCAATTTCGCGATAGGACAAACCAACATCTCGATAGACAATAATTCTACCCCTGTTAAAGTAGCTAACATGGTGGTCATTTGGACGTCTTCGAACTCGAGGCATTTTGATTTGCTTAAAACTAATAAATGAAAGGGCAATAACTGAAAATATCTGTACTACTCAGGTCTCAAACTGCTTTCTTCACTGCCTTCACAAAAACTACGAGAACATTTTAACAAAGGTAGGTAATTAAAAACAAAGATAAATCGTTGACGTTGTTGCCACAGCATGCTTTAAATATCTTTAAATATAGTCATTATGTTGCCAAAAAAACAAGTTGAAGATATTATTTTTTCTAATGTCACTGAGTATATAATGAAACTTTTTCTTGTTTTTTTCTTAAAGAAACATGAATACGTTACATGCATAGCGAAATACCTTTATAATAAATTGGATTATCGCCAGTATTTTTATCTTTGCATGAATATCACCCAGATGGTGTGCTAGCCAAATATATTTGTAAACAGTGGATCATATATCTACAAACTAAAACATTAGACGGCAGTTTAATGGACATATTGCTGAACTTTTGAAAATACATATGTACGTCGTCAAGCCGGAAACGGAGGATAGGCCAAGTCATAATGGTTATCAGAAAAATATAAAATAATTCAAGTCGTGTACTTTTCAAATTATCGGCTTTAAAAAAATTGGAAAAATCTACACCCAGTGATGGTTTTTTAGTTCCCATTACTACAAATCTCAATTTTTTCTTAGACGAAGTGACGGACAGCGTCTTCAAAGAGTTGATTTTTGTCAGACAATGTTACAGAGACACCGGGAAGATCCACGATTTCAAGAGAAAATTTAAACTGGTGAGTCGACATTTAAAAAAGATGGTGACATCAATCTTCACAACCTACATGAGTGGCATGTAGGAAATCCACATTTAATGAAACACGATTGATCACAGTATCGTTTTAAAGTAAAGATGTGGACTGGGATTTTATAGGGGAGAATCGCTGTACCCTTTGAGCTTCCAGGATTCTTGAATGGCGAAATTTATTTAGTCTTTTTACAAAATCGTTTACCAAATTTATTGGAAGACAAGCCACTAAGCATTTACAGACACATGTACCAGCAAAAAAAAGTTCACTCAAAGCGAATCGAAAATTTGCAACTGGACAGAATAACAGAAGCAGCTGAATTTGTTAGGAACGGAAGATTCGCCCTATCATGAAGGAAGGCAGTTTAAGATGTCCCTCACTCCATCTAAGAAAAAATTGAAATTTGTAGCAATTGGAACTAAAAAATCATCACAGCGTGTACATTTTTCTTATTTGTCCGATTTTTTAAAGCCTATAATTTGAAAAGTATACGACTTGGATTTTTTATTATTTTCTGATAACTATTATGACTTGGCCTATCCCCCGTTTCCGGTTTGACATCGACTTCTGGGACACCCTGTATAGTCAGTCGCTTTTACCTCAAAATAAGACTGGCAGTTGTTTAGCTGTTGCTTCAGTGGAAACGCAAAACCAAGACAAATGAAAGTCGAAAATGGGTATGAAGTCAGGTTGCCATCTCGTTGCGTTTGGTGAAAATAATGACTGATATATGCCCCTGATCCTTGAACAAAACTACTAAAATGTGCACTTACCCTCAATCGGCGAATACCAAATCTAGTGATAAGCTGACAGTCGTACAGCTCTACTCTTTGGAGATTGTGGCATGATGTAAGATGTTCCAAGGAGGCATCTGTGACTAGAGGGCAGTTGTCCAATTCAAGGACTGTTAGATTTTCGGCGGCGCAAGGTGACATGGAAAGATGTCTGATACCTTCGTCTGTGATGAGCTCACAGTGCGACAACGTCTGAAAATAATAAATATAAAAACTACCATTGAATAGTGATCTTGATATAGGCAACCAAAGATGTAACTTCATAATTCATGTATCGAAATCAGTAACACGCCGCGTAAAAAACCTTAAGGTGAAGCTGTATCGATACGATAGGTAAGAAATAAATCGAATTGCAAGCATACATTTCTCTTTTATTACTAAACTGAATCGAGTAATATTGCGCTTGAAGCCCTAAAACTTAAGTATGATGGCATACAGGTTTTGAGTTTAACTGCTGCTTTCATAAGTTATAAATCGCACTTTTCGTGATTTGACTGCTATATGTCTGTGAACCTGTATGGTTCATCATCGTTAATTTTTCATTGGACGAGGTTTAAAGTTGAACTTCGGTTAAACCGGGTTGGTACAACATACGTATACATATCGCTTATTTTACACAGTGACCTACAATGATATGGCAAGCTCTCGAAAACATATGGATCGTGGATTTGGAGAAAATAATGATACAAGTTCATATAAAAATATCCTACGGGTTGCTGATTACGAATCTATCACTAGAATAACTATATTTTTAGAATACCGGAACCAGTATACTGATACACTACCAGAACTGATACAATTATACTAAGAGAGTTCTCAAAAACAGCTTATTTTTTGAATGACAAACAAAAGTGATTTTTTTCAGCTTAAATATCAGGCTATTCAAAAATGTCATCGTCGAGTCGTTGAAAACAATATTAGCTACTGCATTGTGCCTTCTGTGGCGGCTTAAATGATTTAATTATTTTGTATAGACATCACGTGAAAGTACAGTCGGGTACTCTGCTGTCAAAACATCTTTAAATTATACAGTGTCGCTTAAAACATACTGAAGAAGTAGCGATACAAAGTAGGGTCTTAAGATACCTATGCCTCAATAGGGGAGTCCGGAAGAGTAGTTTTAATAGACATTTGTGGCATTACTTTTTGTGCTCTATCAGCCTCTATCTTCATCTGGGACACCTTGTATAATCAGTGAATGCTGCATTGCTTAAATTAAGTTATCAATAATACTAACATTTCATATTCTTATCCGTTCTCTCTTACCAAATATTCAATCCTAGGACAGCCCATTGCAAGATGTATCAGCGTTGCATCTGTTATAAGAACACATTCGTCTAGGTCCATTTTTTCTAAATATCTACAACTCTGAAATAAAAAAAATATCTTGATTTGTACACTAGATACAATTGATAAAGATAGTGACATTTTAATTTTATCAATGTATGTCATCTCACGAATATTGTGTCAAATTTCAAATCCATCGGAGCGAAATTGCTGAAGCTATTGGCATTTTTTCAATTATTTTTGTTTTTTCAATAAAAAAATGGTCGGGTTTTGTTACCGAAAATCGTGTTTATGACTTCCGGGAACTAAAAGAACAAACATTTAAAAAAAATAAAAACTCGATGTGGTTACCTCAACAAGCATCTCACATAATAAACTCATTATGATTTTTTTTATTCGGAAGATCCAATGACGAGTGACAACATAACCGCAAACCCACTTTTTCACGAGGCTGCCAATGGTTTATTTATAGAGATCTCACTTTGGAAATTTAACGGGACATAGTCCGAATGTCATGTTATTATATGGTACTTAAATCATCATTACTTATATCCATAAAAAAGAATCTGCCGCTCTGCTCTTGGAACAACTAAGGTAGTTCGCACGTATTATCTGCCCAGCGGAAGAATGTAAGAGTGGACATGGTGAGGAGTACTGCAGAAACCCATAGGAGGTGATGGTATCGTTAGATGTTTCTTCTAAATTGATGATGATTTGCTTTTGTGTGGTACTTAATACCACCCACCAACAGCGCTTCGACTGACATTAACCATTTAGGGATGCTTTAACATACAGTGTTATCACACGAGACAACTTGAAAGCCCCTTTGAGACTTCCAGGATGTTCATGCCTTTAGAATAATTCAATAGGCTATATATAGGGTCTGACCCAAGGTGAATTTTTTTGGCTGTAACCGAAGTTCAGCTTTTAACACAACCTTCAGCTAGAGCCAAAGCGATTTTTCAGTTAAGCAAAAATGTAGTTCGCATTATATATAGTAAAGTGGCAGAATCCGAATATTTGGCTCCCTTGATAGTGTTGTTTGTCAGTTGTAACCTAAGATTTAATGTAATGGGTTAAAATTAGATAAATCTAATGTAAAACTCCTGATAGTATACATTGTGACATCGTAAATGGGAAGAGATACGCAGTCAATTAAACTGTAGGAACATTTACATTACCATAATCAGAAACCGGCACCTAAACAAAATTGCAATTTGAAGTATTTTCAGAAATAAACTGACACTTCACTAAATCGTCATACTGTGCGATGTGCGTATACGGTTCTGGCAAATAAAAACAATGCCATACATATTGGCTCCTACGTGATAAATTCCTGCAGGTGCTCATGTTATTCACTGGATGACCTGGAGTACAAAGACTGGAGATACGAGGTTAATCTGGGAGTGGAAAATGGCGTAGAGCGTCTGCGCATTGAAAAATGTGAAATATGCATTTCATTCACGTTTTGCCATGTTTTATAGGTTTATTACTTCGTGTTTTATTAATATTATCCAATATTTCTGCTTGCAACTTATCCGAACTGTCAACAAAATTGTTGTCATGATAGCAACAGAAAGAGATACCCTATGCGCAGCACCTGTAATTCATTTATGGTGCAGTGTACTAACTTACTTCATCATCGACATGTTCGGCTATACTCCCGCTCTATGAGTTCAACCTCCTATCCTTTGTCTTTGTGACCTGGAGGTTTTTTGACACTGTCTATACGATGCAGGAGTATGGTAGTGATATGCTTCAATGTACCTGTACTGATCCCTACTAAATAAGGTCTTTGATTCAAGTATTATACCTAAAGATAGTTAACCATTCTGGCGCCAAAAATAAATTTAGAAACCAGCTTTGAAGTTAGAGTGTTTGATTCTGCTACTGTCTCACAGATAACGCTAATACTTGCTACTCCCTCCTCTTCAAAAGGTTAATACACTCTGCGGCCACATATATTCAAGTCATGATATCTTACGAATTTTAAAATTGTCATTTTAAACTGAGATGCATTTTACTTGATGACAAGTCAATGGCAGTGATTTTCAATTTTGCTTCCGCTAGGCAGCGCTTGTGTGGTGGGAGGTCACAGCTTTCTGTTGTGATTGATATCAAAAATGTAAATGATTGCGCCTTCTAGCGTCACCAATGTGACACTCTGTACTCATTCTCTGCCTTTTCTCAAATAAATCAGTCTTTGGTTAACTGCCAACTCGTGCGTTTTACTACAGGTTATGGGCCACATCTGAGTGTAACCAAAAGAAAAAAGTGAAATTCTTGTCGTTTTTATAGTTAATTCCGCGTGTGCAAACAAAAATGAGTTCCAGCTACCTTGCAAACGTTCCGAAGCTGAAAGGACGCGAAAACTTCGAAGATTGGGCATTCGCGATCGAGAACTTGCTAGTTTTGGAAGGCGCAGAACAGTTTATGAAGCAAGAAGGAACTGATGCTGAAGCTAGGTTATTGGACGCAAGAACACGTACTAAGTTGGCTTTGACTGTCGATTCATCGTTATTTGGAGACAAAGACAACGAAAGAATTGTGGACAAAATTGCATTCTTTGTTCGACGATTCAGGATTTTCGAGGATTACTTTGCTTCGTCATCTGATTTCGCTAAGGTTAGAAAATTGTGAAAACATGACGAATTATGTGACACAAATAGTAGAAACATCTCAACGTTTATGTGGAACAGGTTTTGAGATCAACGATGAATGGGTTGGATCTTTGTTGCTAGCCGGCTTGCCGGAACGATTCATGCCGATGATCATGGCCATCGAACATTCCGGAATCATGATAACCGCTGATTCCATCAAGTTGAAGCTACTCGATATGGAAACTATCGACTCGACCGAAACGACGAACTCGGCACTAGCGATCCGGACTTGGAAGAAGAAGAAAAGTCAGAACCAGAATGGCAACACTGGTAGACATGGCTATCAACAATACGTCAACAATCCGTCAAACTCTAAGAGCATGAAAAACACAACCTGCTATCGTTGCAAACAAACAGGCCATTATATGAGTAATTGTCCACAAAAGAATGAGAAAAATAAGCAAACTAACGCCTTTAGTGTTGTTTTTCTCAGTAGCGAGTTCAGTAAAAATGATTTCTATATAGACTCCGGTGCGAGCATGCACATGACTGCGAACGAAAATTGGCTGAAAAACCCTACATATTCGTCGGATCTCCCAGAAGTAGTCATTGCGGACAAAACAAAAGGTACCAGTTTTGTGCTCAGGTGATGTAGAAATATCAACAAACTACAATTATGACATAACAGTGAGGGATGTGTTGTGTGTACCCAGTCTCACAACAAACTTGTTATCAGTCAGTGAACTCATAAAAAATGGTAATAGTGTTGTGTTCGAGCCTAACAAGTGCCTAATAAGAAACAAATTGGGTGATATAGTGGCTGACGCAGACCTGGTTGATGGAGTTTATAAAGTTAAAACACAGAACTGTTTGTTGACATCAACAGTGAATGGCGATATATGGCACAGGCGACTTGGTCATATAAACAGCAACGACATGAACAAAATGAAACGTGGCTTAGTGGAAGGATTGGACTATCCAGATAAGTTTTCCACAAGTAAAGTTAACTGTAACGTATGTTGTGAAGGAAAAATGGCAAGGCTACCATTTTCAACAGGCTCATGTGCACAGGAAGTTCTAGATGTTGTGCATATGTGGTCCTATGGAGAACAAATCGATTGGTGGTGCACGATACTTTGACGATTATAGCAGAATGACCTTCATCTATTTTATGAAAGCAAGGAGTGAGGTGTTAAGCTATTTTAAACAATTCAAGTCAATGGCAGAAAACTTTCAAGACAAGAAAATCAAAGTCTTGCGGTCAGACAATGGTTGTGAGTACCGCAGCAATGATTTTGAAAATTTTCTTAAGGAAGAGGGTATCATACACCAAAAGACAAATCCATACACACCAGAACAGAACGGACTCAGTGAGAGGTTCAATCGTAGTATAGTGGAGAGAGCCAGATGCTTACTTTTCGAAGCTGATCTTGAGAAGAAGTTCTGGGCAAAGGCTGCCAATACAGCTGTCTATTTGAAGAACCGATCAGTAGCTTCAGGTACAGAAAAGACTCCATATGAAGCATGGACCGGTAAGAAACCAAACTTAGCCCACATACGTATATTTGGAAGTACCGTAATGGCACATATTCCAAAAGAAAAAAGGACCAAATGGGACAAGAAGTCTAGGAAACATATACTAGTTGGTTTCTGTGATAATGTCAAGGGTTATAGAATTTATGATCCAGTGAAGAATATTGTAACAAAAAGTAGAGACGTTGTGATCACAGAGAAGCCAAAGAAGAATGAGATAGTCACCATTCCTACAGGAACCACAGATTCTGTGGGGGATTTGAAGAAGGAATCTGAGGTTGAATTTGAGCAGTCTGAACAGTCAAGCTCTAGTGACTCAGAAGGATGGCGAAGATGAAAACTGGCAGCAGGAAGTATCGGAGACAGAGAAGGAAGAAGCTAACATAGTTGGTGAAGAAGAAGAAGCTCCATCAGTATCAGATATACCAGAGTCACCACAGATTGTAGATAGAGAAAAGAGACGAAGGAAGAGGCCTTCTAGATATGGTATTGTCAATATGTGTACTACTTCCATAGCAGAGGATGAAATGACATATGCAGAGGCTATCAGTGGTCATGAAAAAGAACTACAAGCAATGGCAGAGGAGCTGCAGTCGTTCGAGGATAATGAGGTATGGGAGGTTGTTGACAATGCTAGTGTAGTGCAGTGCAAATGGATAATGAAAAAGAAATTAGATTGTGACAATAAAGTGAGTTATCGTGCACGACTCGTAGCCAAAGGTTTTACACAGCAACAAGGTGTAGATTATCAGGAAATTTTTTCTCCAGTGATTAGGCATTCAACCTTGCGCTTACTATTTGCTTTGAGTGTGCAACTAGGAATGGAAATAACTCATTTAGATGTCACAACAGCATTTCTTAATGGTTATTTAAAAGAAAATATTTTCATGCATTTGCCAGAAGGTTTTCCTATCAAAAATTCAAACAAAGTGCTAAAATTAAAAAAGGCTATCTATGGATTAAAGCAATCATCTCTTGCTTGGTATCAAAGAGTAGATGAAACTTTGTGTAATTTAGGGTTCAGTAAGAGCAATCTAGAGCCTTGTGTGTTTATAAAAAATTATACTAACAATAAGAAAACTGTTTGTGTTTATGTTGATGACTTTATAATATTTTCGAATAATAAGCTTGAAACTGATAGTTTAATAGAAGCTTTAAGTCAGAGATTTAAAATAAAAAATCTAGGTCAAGCCAAACGATATCTAGGTATGAGAATTTGCATAGATAAAAGTTCAAATGTAATAACTGTAGATCAAGAGAGTTATATTGAACAATTGCTTGAGAAATTTGACATGATTGGGAGTAATATGGCTAATACTCCTATAGAATGTAAATTAAATATAGAGAGGTCAGATATTTGTGAAGATAAGTTGCCATATCAAAAGTTAATTGGTAGTTTGATGTACTTAGCAGTCTTAACTCGACCAGATATTGCTTACTCAGTCAGTTATCTCAGTCAATTCAATAATTGTTATTCAAAAACTCACTGGAATTATGCTAAACGAATTTTGAAATATTTGTTGAAAACTAAACATTATTGTTTGAGATATTCTAAAGGAAGAGCAGATTTAGAAGGTTTCGTAGATGCAGATTGGGCCAGTGATGCCAATGACAGATGTTCATATACAGGTTTTTGTATTATGAAATGTGGATCTGCTATTTCTTGGGAAAGTAAGAAGCAACGGACAGTTGCATTAAGTAGTTGTGAGGCCGGATTTATGGCTATGTCAGAAGCTTCTCGTGAAGCAATTTATTTACAAAACTTAGAGCATGAATTGTCTGGTTATCATAATAAAATTGTACTGTATAATGATAATCAGAGTGCATTAAAGCTGGCAAACAATCATCAGTCACATAAACGCTCGAAACACATTGATGTGCGATATCATTTCATCCGTGATGTAATTAATAATAATATAGTTGAAGTAAAATATTTGCCAACTTCTAACATGCCTGCTGACTTACTAACTAAAGGATTATCAGGTGTAAAACACTATAAGTTCATGAAAACACTTGGAATAGTTGAAAAGTAAATGTATTGAGTTATATGTTAAGGTGCAATCAAAGTGAAAAACAGAATTTTTTAGTTTATTGGGAATTTTTGATATAGTGGGGGTGTGGTGATTGATATCAAAAATGTAAATGATTGCGCCATCTAGCGTCACCAATGTGACACTCTGTACTCATTCTCTGCCTTTTCTCAAATAAATCAGTCTTTGGTTAACTGCCAACTCGTGCGTTTTACTACACTTTCAAACGTAGATTTTACAGAAAGGTGATGGAAAAAGACAGATTTAATAAGAAGGTAGCCGATTTTTCACGTTTCCACGTCTCTCTCTCTCTCTCTCTCTATATATATATATATATATATACCACGAGAATAGCAGCAATTATAAGCCCCGCTGAAAAACTTTATAACTCAAAAAAATAATTACCCTAGCTAATGCTTGAAATGCAGCGTCTGTGAACTGAGAACATCCGGCAACCTCGAGCGTAGACAGCAGAGGGCACTGCTGAGCCAAAGCTATCAATGACGCGTCAGTCAGTGCAGAGCATCCGGATAGACACAAATAATGCAGTCTTGGGCATTTTTCTGCTAGTGATTGCACCGCTTCGTCTCTTATATTCTGAAAAAAATACATAATATAAATATTAATCTTTTGATTTGAGGTTTGTTGTAGTAACTTACACTGCAACCTTGTAAATTGACAACTTCTAACTGGTGACAGAACCTAGCTAAACAAATTACAGCCCTAGATGTGATGTGCTTGCATCCTTTACTTATAAAGCTCCTCAATCTAGGACAGCCTCTTGCTAGTGCCTCCACTCCATTTTCAGTAATGTTACTGAAAAAAAAAAAAAACAAACACCGATCTGATTAATAACAAGAGTCGTAACAGAGATATACAGTCATAGACAGAAGTATGAATTTTTATATCAAACATTTTTCCAGGTCGACTCGTATACAAAAATTAAATTGTGCCGTTCATTCTATATGCCTGCTCAGGTATCACATATTTTCACATGTTAACTTTTTATGCCATAGACATTCCTACCGTATTTGCGTTTTTTATGCTTTGGACAAATGTATGGAAAGTTTTTTCAAATCAGCATTGTTACATATTTAACATCATCGAATTATTTTTGTCATATCACTGCTAAAACCAGCACCCTATTAAGAATGGGCAAGAACAAGTATTTACCGGAAGAGTTGCGACTTAAAGTTGTTGAGTTGAAAAGACAGGTTGTAAAGCAATGTAGTATTGCAAGAAATTTAGACTTAAGTGAGGGTTTCGTTTCAGAAATTCTAAAAAAGTTTCAGTTACTAGGAAACATTACTAATAGGTCAAAGTCAGGTCGTCCTAGAAAAACTACCCTCTATGTCCATAAGGGCATTAAAACAGTTTCGATAGCTGATCCGTATAAGTCATTCGTCCAAATGAATGCAGACATTCGTCAATATTTCAACACAGACATAACGGCCCGAAGATGTCTCTGTGAAGTTAGGTTGTTTGGAATATTTGCTGTCAAAAACCGTTTCTGTCTAAAGAGAATCGAAAAAAAATCAGAGACTTTTAAATTGGACACCTAAAAACTGGAGTACGGTGCTTTGGAGTGACGAAAGCAAATTTAAAATATTTGGTGCTGATGGAAGATCGTTTGTAAGTAGACCTGTCGGGAAAAAAATTGATATCAACTATCAAAAGCCTACAGTAAAGCATGGTGGTGGCAGTGTTATGATCTGGGGGTGTTTTTTCCAGGCCTGGAACGGGTCCGGTACTGAAAATATCTGGGAAAATGGATCGCTTTATGTACCGCGACATATTACATAATACTATGTTACCCTATGCCGAAGAAAAAATGCAGCTGTTGTGGAGAAATCAACAAGATACGAACACGACCCGAAACATTCATCCCATTTAGTAAAAAAATGTTTTTTAGAGAAAAGCGTTGATTTGCTGGAATGGCCTTCGCAATCCCCCGACCTCAATCCAATTAAGCACCTTTAGGAGCACTTAGAACGGAAAATTCGGCAAAGAATCATTCATAGTGAGAATGATCTATGGGATGTTCTACAAGATGAATGGCAGAACATTCCAGTTGATATGTGTCGAAATCTTGTTGATTGCATGTCAAGATGTAGGGAAGTCATTAAGGTGAAGGGATTTTCATCAAAATTCTGAACATTGCTTGTTTAATTTGTATGTTTAACTTTGTTCTCTTAATAAAATTATTCTTTTCATACTTTTGTCCAAGGGTTTCCTTTACTTATCACATATAAGAGAGGTTTTATTTTTTATTTCTTAAATATTACTAATTTAGTAGTGGATGTTTATTTTTTAGTATGTTATTAATTATTGATTAACAAATATTAAGAGTATAACCAGAAAAAAATATTTCCATACTTTTGTCCATTACTGTATATTTTTTACAATGTATTATACCAGGGCTGTCCAACTTAATGTGGTCCAAGGGCCACTTCAAAAAAAATGCAGTTTGGAGGGCCGCATTATAAAATCTTTCTATACAACATTATTACTGAGTTTCAATAGGTATATGCATATTCAGTATTTGAGAGTAATTTATACTTGTGATGTATACATGACCCGTGAAGCGGGCCGCGAGAAAGGAGTTCGCGGGCCGTATGTTGGACAGCTCTGTATTATACTATACTAAGTGACATATAAATCCGAATACCCAGTTTAAATGGATTTATTTTAATAAAATTTTGTATAAGTACTTAATGAAGCATAATAAGTAAATGATACAAATTTCAAAATGATTGCACTGCTTTAAAGCCCTTTGACCTTTAATAATGTGTGGATGCACCCTGATGTGCTACGCATTCTCCAACGCGCCTAGGCATGCTTCTGATCAGGTGGTCAACGTCCTCCTGTGGTATCTCATTCCAGGCAACCATCAACTTCTCTCGAAGTGCTTCTAGAGTCTGAGGAGGACGTTGCAAATTGAGCAATCTCCTACCCATCATATCCCACACGTGCTCAATTGGGGATAAGTCGGGAGATCTTGGTGGCCATGGTAACAATGTGACATCATTATGTTGAAAGAAGTCTATTGTGACTCTTGCAACATGTGGTCGGGCATTATCTTGTTGGAAAGTTGGATCTGCCAGGGTGTCAAGATAGGGTAAAAGATGGGGTTCTAGAACTTCGTGAATATAACGCTGCGCGTTCATGTTACCTCTGATGAAGATTAAAGGTGGCCTGGAACCATAAGCTATAGCACCCCAAACCATAACTCCAACAGTGTGATGAACATGTCTTTCAACAAAAAACTGTGGATTCCTCCTTTCACCACGTCGCCTTCTAACCCTGGCACGACCATCGTGCATGCCTAAACAAAATCGAGACTCGTCACTAAAGACAATACTGTTCCATTCCTGATCCCAGAGTGACCGTTGTCTGCACCACTCAAGGCGATTACGTCGGTGTTCTCGAGTTAAAGGGAGGACCCAGTGTGGCCGGTATAAAAACAAGCCAAAACTTCTCATTCGTCGGTAAACACTTCGCATGCCAATAGGTCTTCCGTGTTCTGCAAACCATTCATTCGAAATGGACCTGGTAGTGGAGAAAAAATGTCCCTTAAGGCCAATAATCTTAGGCGGCGATCTTCACGGTCTGTTGTTCTACGGCGGCGTCCAGTGCCCCTTGCTCTTTGCGTACGGCCTTCTCGAAGCCATGCCTGACAACACCTAACCACAGTGTCTACACTTCTTTGCACTCTAACTGCAATTGCCCGGAAAGAAAGTCCAGCTTCCCGAAGTCCCACTATACGGTCCCTATCAAACTCAGTAAGTTGACGAAATTGTACAGGTCTCCGTACTCTAGGCATCGTAACCGATCGTAAAGGATGTCAAGAACCAAAATCCGCCAACGTTGATTCTATACTGCGGCTGAAATATTCATTTTTAGAGCGTTAGTGAATTAAAAAAAAGCAGTATAAAAACCGGAATGTCCAACTGATAAGGCTGAAATTTTTTTCATTTGTTATTTGCAGTAAGATAAATACATTCAACAACTTTTATTAAAATAAAATCATTTAAACTGGGTGTTCGGATTTATATGTCACTTAGTATATTTATTACTAGAGAGTATTAAAATGATGGTGGATTGGTTATTTTTGGATTATTTTCTGAACCTACTCTTAGGACATGTTTTTTTAAAGCAGCAGTGTTTTTTCAATTTTTGTCGTACATACTTTCGAAAGTGAACAACACCTACATTGTGTAATCCATGGAAATAAAAATAAAGTCATACATGCAGTCATCATAATCAGCATAAGAAATACACACCCAATCATTGTAATTAATCAAAAATAGCGACTAGCGATCATAGATGAGTCAGTAGTAACATTTTAACTATCGAACTAAACCTAATCCTAGATGATGTTCCGGAAACTTGTCAATAAATAATACAGCACTTTAAAATATGCCATGTAGTTCATATAAATGTCCTGTTTTTATAGTCTACCTTACTTTTCTCGAAAACAGATTGAAATGTATTATTAAATATCTCACAAACATGTAAAACATCGTTTTTTAAAGGACTTACATCAGTGACGTTCATGCAGTCAAGTCTCTATTTTTAGTGGAGAAAACAAAACGAAACGTATCATTATCTTACAGCCAGATGGATTCTACTCGGAAACAGGTTTACGTTAGTCTTTTCATTTCAAAACAAAAATTATTTTAATAACCAGTACATCAATCTACCTATCTGTATTAAAACAGAGAAATCAACCTGGCGTTTTTTATTTACGAAAATAAAGAAACACTCCAAAAGATATCCTTCAAGCTGAATCAATGTCTCTAACAAAATGACACTTATTGACACTCACGTTGACCGAAACACATAAAATTATTATGGAATCGGTTTCAAAAACGTACTTCAAGGAAACAATTATATTTGAACATCCGCATATCGGAAAACAACTTTCCCAACGCCAAATACGTCAGTCGTACACCTGCGAAATAAAAAAAAAACGACAGTTTGTGTTCATCCTTTGATCAAAGATCGTCACACAACACGAGTGATCCTATGAAATTAGGAATATCTACTAAATGTCAAAATCTCTGTGTTTTCATTTACCCTTTAACAGCTGTGGAAACCCTTCAAAGCTAAAGGAAAATCTAACATTTCGAAATTATCGCTTTAAACGTGAAACTTGTGTCTCAGGAAAGCATATTACGAAACCCAGTTTCACAGACCCAAGTTTACTACTAGGATTTCTATCTATTGCAGTTTCGTGAAACAGTTGGGAAATTTCACGTGAAGCGGAAAACGAAAAAGCAGGTTTTAAAATTCGCTATTTTGGGGCCTGTTTGTACAGCTAGTAGGTATGAAAGAGAAAACACGATTTTTTTCGCGGCACGTAACACATTTTTTCAATTTCAGGGGTATTACATTGGGATACTAAACAGGACGTTTACCATAAGAAATTTTCTGTACTTTTTAATAAATAAAATCAAATTTGAAATTAAAAGAATAAGATGCTAAACAATAAGTAAACATTTAAAATCAAAATTTAGGTACTTTTGGTCGTTTTTTTTGCGATGTTTTTACTCGAAAACTGCAATTCTAAAGAATAATCCGGGTCCAATTTTATAAATATCGATGATCCTAGCGATTTAGACGTTGGAGGTAGTTTTACTTCGTTCAATGAAAACAACAGAAAAACAACTCACCTACACCAGCTAATGTTAATATGTGTCAAATTGGGGCACCCATCACTGAGTGCTTTCAAGGAATTATCAGTGATGGCAGCGCAGCTATCTAAATTGAGCTTTTGCAGCTTTGAGCAATGCCTGGAGAGCGCATTGCATGTTGTATCTGTGAGTTTCTTGCAACCATTCAGGTTAAGATCTTCCACGTTGGGACACAACTGAGCTAGCGTCTTCATGGAACCGTCCGCTATCGACTGGCATCCTCTTAGGGACAACTGACGCAGGAAACCGCCGCATCGTCGAGATATGTTCTCTATTATGGGCCCCTGAAAGATTTAGATATGAATGGAAAAGTTACATCTTCACTTCTATATGGAGGAAAATGCAACTGACAACCTGAAGGAAAATTCAAGAGGAGATGTATTGAAAGGAATAGCTTACAAAGGTTTTATACAAGGGTGAATCAAATACGAACCCGACTTTTGTTTTAGTAAGTTTATTGGCAAAGTAAATTCATGTTTATTTACATCTTATTTTTCTACATAATCTCCTCTCTTATTGATGCACTTTTTCTATCGGGTCGGAAGTTTTTTAATTCTCCCATCAAAGAATGAACGTTTCCACTCCTTCGTCGTCATCAAAGTGGTGACCTAGGTCTTCTTCTAAGTGGCCCGAGCATGTGATCGTCACATGGCGCCAAATCAGGACTGTTAGCGCGGGTATTCAAGTGTTTCCCAATCAATTTCGAGAAATTTTTCTTGGGTCAATGTGGCTGAGCGTTGTCATGGAGCAGAATGGCACGAATATGCATAAAAAGGAAGTAGCGTTTAGTGTTACTCAATTTGTTTTCAGCTATCTAGAGAAAAAAACAGTTTTTTTAAGAAAGGAGGATCCCCAATCCGTACCCAAGTCTGTATGAATTCAGATGGCTACATGCCTTTTTTGCAACATCGGCGGGATTTAAGACGGACATTAACATGAGTCCAAGATTGCTGCTATACAACATCTTGTACGAGGGTCACGCGGTTAGCTACAAAAACATTCCAGCGGCTTGGATCAGACTTGATTGATGACAAAACTATTTGCGAGTCAGTAAATACAAAAATACAAGTGAATTCCATATAATCATATACTTTGAGAACGATAGAAATTAACTTAACTAAAAGAACAGCTTCTGAAAGTTCAAGCTCTGGAATCGTTACGCGTTTTAACGGGGCAATTTTAGACTTGGCACAAACAAAATATGAGGAAACATTTTCCTGGAAATTGATGAGACGAAAAAAATAACTGCGGCATAACCCCCACATAATTCAATCCTAGCGTAATGATCTATCAACAAGCTGCGTGTTAGTTGAATTTTTGACAAATATGGTAGTTCAGACTAATACTGATTCCAGACGCGGACTACATCATCTAAAGGAGATTCATCCCAGCCTAAGCCGGTTGTCCAGAGTTGTTGAAATAAGTATTTACAATAAAATGTGACTGGCGCGACTACATCACGGTCTTGAGAGTTCAGATAACATATTTCGTTTGGTGCATTTGAAGCTTTAGCTCAAAATTTTGAATGTCAAGTTAGATGCAAAATCAAAGTCTAGCGGTTTTGTGCTGACAAGTTCCAAACATGAACCTCTAGTTACAATATCATCGAGTTATGAATCGCGTTTGAGCACGAGAGCTGCAGAGGGAAAATTACTACCGTCAGTATCAGCTAAATGATGCAAAGCACGGATTGCTAAAAATGGAGAAGAGTTTACGCCATAGGTAACATATCTGCGTTGTAGCTGCTCACCTCATGTAAAATCGAAGTAAACGAAGCCGTAACAGAAGTTGGTGTCGAAAATGGATCATGGAGATGGACCGGGGAATGAGTGTGCTCCAGATGCTGAATAAAGGACCTCTGGTGAAGGATCCACTAGCTTATAGGCCTAATTGGTTCTAAAGTTATTGACCTTTCTGTTTTTATAATGCCTGCTTTTTCGAGCAGATAATCATATTTAGCATACTCGTTTAGTAGTATGTCACACTGCCCTGTTGTACCATGATATATTTTAAGTTTTTGAATCAAGTAGAACAGCATAAGTAGGGAAGTTTCGCGAAACTGATGAACAGAACTGATCACAACAACTGATAAACATGCTTGAGATTAGGCTTGTTTTTGTCAACCAGTTATTATCTCATCTAATCATCACAAAACATCAAGATAAAATCAAAGAGTTATCACGAAACACGTAATTCCTTGTCACGTAGCGCTTCTATCAGCTACTGTACTGCTCCAAATATGTAGTAGGTGTCTGCTCACTTTTATCATATTATTTAGAATGGGTTCTACAAAAATAGCACTCAATTTGTTTTGTACTAAATGATGTCCGACACTATCCTTAATTTTGTATAAAATTTAGCGAAGTAAATTTGGCAGAAAATTTCGTATCGTGACAGACGGCTTTTAGGAACAGACTCTAACTCCCCAAAGCTTACTAATAATTTTCTCGAATGATTCCGAGTTTGCGGAAGTACAAAAAATGCATTAACAGTTGAACTGATACTAGCATTACATTTTCCAATCAGAATGCATCGAAAAATGGTATGTAACGCGATGGGTTGACTTTGTTGACCCTATACTCGACCATCCAAAACAATCTGCGCAAACATATCAGCACCTAGTAAAAGGCCAACTTCCCCAGGACAATAAAATTTGGGATCAGCAAGCGTAAGATGAGACAAACGTGGCCAAGCTATATCGGACACATCCTGGGAAGGCAAGCGCTCACGTATTTTGGTCATTATCAAAGCATCAACAGATAGAATTTTATTATCAGGACCGACAGGTTTTAAGAAAATGTAACGGCTCAGGTGTTATTAAGCGGTTGCATCTATGCCCCCCGAGTGACATAGTAAAGGCATACTTCGCTAAATCGAGCAATTTATGAGCCCAGATGAGATCAAACTAACTGGTGAACCTGAATTGATAAGGGCTCTAAACACCATGTAAGTCCCTTGTGAACTGCGAATTTCTACTATGGAGGTAGACAACAGGACAGAGGAAGGTTTATGCGAGAAACTCGAGCAATGGGCAGCTGAATTGCATAGGGGAGAAGAATTGGAGAGCAGAGATATAGCGGGAGTTTGACTACTTGACTCACCAGAGTACTCTTGATTTTGGGATTCATCACGGATTGTGTTTACCTGTTCAGAATGGATTTTAAATAACGTTCTTTTTGGAACATCTCTTACCGTTTCTTTAGCTAGATGCTAGAGCATGCAAAACCTTTACTTCGGTTGAAGATCTTAAATCGATATAACTATAATAATCCAGATTTGCTACCAAAAATCTAGACGCGTCAAAACGTTAAAAAAACAAATTTAAGCGCAAAAAACCTGGGTTCAGTTTACCTGAGTTGTGACGATTTCAACACAATTAGAGGAGAAATATTATTTCTGAACGAAACAGGCAAATATCCGTATACTACCTGCTAGGCAACAAAGAAAAATCTTATTGGCCTTGAATTTATTTTTGAACATAAAAATACGTTATGGAGATTTGCTCAGCAACTACGACTCGTAGATTAATGATAAATACACCAATGGAACTACATTTTTGTGACAGGGTTAAAACTACCCTTATCCTGGTTCGAAGGATCAAAATGTTAATGATCTGGCATTTAGCACCACATTAAGGGTGCGGATGCGGCAATGTCAAAAGAAGGCTGGTTTGGCAGAGCCCTCAGATGACCCGGTAAAAAATGGCTAATGTCTTACCTCAGATGGTGGAGGTCTTCTTGGTCTCTGTTTGGGGGTTCCTTGCTGGCGCCAGCTCTTCTTTCACTTGTCCAGCCAATAGGGCTACAGGTGGCATTATGAATGTTGCGAGTTACGGGTTCTGCGAACCTCTTGCTCTCGAGATTGCACGAATACTATTGAATTGAGACGCGCTACCAGAGCGCTCGCTGGCCAAAACCATTGTTGCGGTCTACATACGGGGATTCAGCACAAACCTTCAGTATGGACTGAACATATACTGTACTGAGGATGAAAGTGCATACTACAGGTGCACTTGTCATTAGTTAATTTTTTGTCAGCTCTGTCTTTAAATTCATTTATAGTGTTTTTTTTTTCAAATGCAAGCGTTTGCAGATTATTGCGGTATTGCACGATTTCAAGACGGTACTTCTTACAGAATTTGCAACGAGCAGCATAATTTAATGAAGGTAGATGTTCCCACCGGTAATATTATTGTGTTAATACAATGCTGCCACTTAGGTAGGCATTGGTAATCAAATGAGTCAAAAGTATGCACTAAAACGTCGCAATTTTGGCGACAAAAAATGCAAAGTAAACATAATATATAGGATTGGCTCCTTCTAATCTATTCGAATTCATTTGTTGCCTGTATACCCTAGTAACATGTGAATACCACCTTATAGAAAAATCAAGACCTCTACAAACTTCACGAAACATATCGAACGATCTAGAATTAAACAAAAACCTAACGCACCATACAATCGTGCTATTCTAGCATGTTTGTGTAAAATTAACCTATTTTCAAGTATTTAGTTCAATATTTACAATATATACAAACATGCGGTCAATTAATGTTATGCTAGATGTCCAGAAGCTCTTAGAAGGAATCATATATGAACAAGTCATTGAATATATTGAAGAAAATAAGACATTGACAAAATTCCAAGCAGGATTCAGAAAAAAGTATTCTACTGAAACAGCAATTCAAATGGTAGTAGAAGAATGGAGGCGAAATATGGATGAAAAAAGTTTACAGTAACATTGTTCTTAGATTTCAAGAGAGCATTTGAGACTATTGACAGGGAGAAATTGTTAACGAAATTGCATTGCTATGGATTTCAAGGTTCAGTATTCAACTTATTACAAAATTATTTAATCAATAGAAGTCAAAGAACTAAAATTGGCAATACATTATCAAACATTAAAAATATTTCGGTAGGTGTGCCACACGGTAGCAAATTAGGTCCATTACTATTTATTTTATATACGAGGGATGTCTTTTAAGTTTTGCATATGGAAACTTGGTAGGCCGCGCGGATCGAACGTCAGTACTTAATCTTAACCTCACCCTTTATTAAACTTAAATTCAAAGTTTCACAACAATACGTGCAGTGTTCTCACTACAGTGAATTTTTAAGTGTCACCAAGTCATTAGAAAAATGGAACTCAACCGAGAACATTTTCGCGCCATAATTTATTACAACTTTCAGAGACAATTATCGCAACAAGAATACCTTGCTGAGTTACTGTCTGTTTTCGGCAAAGAAGCGCCACATAAGTCGACAATTTCCCGTTGGTATGGGGAATTCAAACGTGGACGGGTGAGTCTTAGCGACGATTCCAGGGTGGGTGTACCAAAAACGGCAGTCACCCAGGAAAACGTCGATGATGTGCACAAACTCATCACTGAAGATAGACATGTGACATATCGCGAGATTGAGGCGTCCTTTTGAAGATCTCAAAGACCTCAATTCAAAAAATTTTACATGAAAAATTAGGAGTAAGAAAAGTAGTTTCTCGTTGGACCACCTGTTGACTGAAGAGCAGAAAGCCGCCAGGGTTAATTGGTGTCAAAAAACACTTGACCGTTTCAATTCCGGAAACTCAAAAAATGTGTACAGCATTGTTAGTGGTGATGAATCGTGGATTTACTGTTATGAACCAGAAAATAAACGACAGTCGGCTGTTTGGGTGTTCCAAGGTGAAGAAAAGCCAACAAAAGTCATCCGATCTCGAAGTGTTTCAAACAAGATGGTCGCGACATTTGTGGCAAAAGCGGGTCATATTGCAACAAATCCTCTTAATGAGCAAAGAACTGTTACTGAGGATTGGTATATCACTATTTGTTTGCCAAAAGTCATCACCGAGCTTCGAAAAATCAACTCCGAAAGAAGAATCATCCTCCACCAAGACAATGCAAGCTCGCACACAGCCCAAAAAACAAGGCAGTATTTAACGGAAGAAAACGTGGAATTATTGGACCATCCTCCATATAGACCCGATCTAAGTTCTAAAGATTTCTTTACTTTCCCGAAAATTAAAAACAGACTGGGTGGTCAAAGGTTCCAGTCACCAGAAGAAGCAGTTGACGCATTCAAAAATGCCGTTTTAGATCTGCCAGCAAACGAGTGGAATACGTGCTTCGAAAATTGGTTCGAGCGCATGCAGATGTGTATTAATCTTCGTGGAGAATACTTCGAAAAACAATAAAGTCATTTAAAACTACCTACCGTGTTGTTTTATTTCCATATGCAAAACTTAAAAGACATCCCCCGTATTAACGATATTCCTGATACTTTACAACACTGCAAAATTCAACTATTTGCTGATGATACATTAGTATATATATCAAATAAAGACATTGAAACTGCAATGGAGCTGTTAAATAATGATATGAAAAGCGTAATAAATTGGTTAAATGTAAATAAACTTAAACTAAGCACAAACAAAACATGAACAAATTGTGACAATCGAATCATTCAAATATTTGGGCATATACGTAGACAGTAAATTAAAAGTTGAAGGGGACTATGAATATATTATTTAAAAACATATCCAAGAAAATAAATTACTTTAATAGAATTTCGCGTTTATTTAAAAAAAAATTGTGCACTACATTCTTCCTCATTTGTTATATTGTTTGACTATTTTTTTCACTGCAAATGAAACAGTATTTTTCAAAATTACAAATATTACAAAATAAAGCTATGAGAATCATCTTGAGTAAAAATAAATATACTAGAATAAATTTAATGACGAAAGAACTACAATGGTTAAATATCAAAAATTTCATAGCCTACTTGGTTTTCATTTTCATATTCAAGTTAAAAAATCATCTACCAAACCACTTAGAAAATATTGTATTGAACAATGAGTGCCACCATTATTCTACTAGAGGAAGTATAGACTTTCATTTACAAAACTGCAGTAGCAATATAACGAGCAAGTCAGTATTTCAAAAGGGATTGTACAAATTTAATAAATTAATTAATGATATCAAGATGTGTGTCAGTTTGAAAATGTTCAAAGGGAAATTGAAAAAATATCTCATGGAAAACCAGAATTCATAGTAGTGAAATTTTGTATAAAAATATGTAGTCTTGAAGACATAATATATTTTGTGATATACTGTGTAATATGGATGAGTTCTGTGTAAAACTTTTCGGGTTCGTTTTACACACAACCTGATACGCTCATCTCGCCTCAGTTTGCAGGTTGTCATTTTTTAGGGTATGCTCTGATCAAGCCTTGGCGGCGTTCAATATTGAAAAAGCAATTAATAGTTGTTTCATAACTCAAGACATATTGCCTTTCGTTTTTGGCATTCTACATAACGTAACTTCGTTTGTCAAGTTGCCATTTGTATTTTCCTCTGTGCATATCATGAGCGCTGAAGATCACGATTTTAAAACATGAATCAAAAACATTACCTCGACGTCCTTCTGAAAATCGAAAAGGTCGATCCTTTGCCAGTTGGAACCATCCAGAGCAAGTATGTTCCATGCTTTTGAGACTTGAGCGCATCTACATAGAGAAACGACGTCTAAGTAGGAAAAAATGCGCAGCAATAATTCCTTTGGTAATTTCTTATTGATGAGAGCGTCATCTTCGGCAAAAACTTTATTCAACTGAAACAAAGAAAAATATGTCAATCTATGTAACTTCTCAAGTAAAAATATCAGAAAAATGATGCTCGATATTTCATAGAAGTTGACGCGAGTTAAAATCATAGAATAGAATATCGTAGACATTTTATAATTTTGGTAATTTTTTGTCACCAATCGTTTTAAAGAAGTGTCCTGACCTAGATCAATATTACCAAGTATTTAAATCTCAACAATGATCCAAATCCAAAAGTTGGTTCTGACAAAAATAATCATCGAGCATTTTGTCACTCTTTGACGGGGCGTGATTTGAATGAAGTTATGAAATTCAAGTCCTTATAGTCAAAAGGATAAGTCTATGGTTACTACACTACGCGGGGGATGGGTCAACTACACACACACACACTACAATACTGGGTTTATCAATATACCAATATTCGCTTGTTTGCTTTCTGTCATCTATCTCCAAATAACTAGACCTATACTATACCGATGATTGCTAAAAAGCATGAAACAACATTGTTATGGTCGCTGAGACGGAAAGCAAACAGATTCTGTTCACCCCATGTGTATTATATCACATACACTAATAAAGTATGGCCCATGAAATAAGGTAAGCATTGCACCAAGCGCTGCCCGAGATATCTAGGTTTATACTAAAAACAAAAAATGAAGTTGGCACATCTCGATAATTCGTTTTATCAGCAGAATAAAATCCAGCTCACTTGATAATGACTTCCTGTTAACACTATTTTATACAAAAGACACATTTCTGAGAATTAAATCTATATTATACATATCATATTCTAGCGCCAGGTAAAAATGCTGACGAAGCCACATGTCTCAAAATTACATCGTTACACTTTGCATTGCATGATTTGATGCAGAACATTTCATTGAAATATGTCAAGTATCCTGAAGTTGATGGACTATTTCAAATAAAATAATGGAAAATCAAAAGTCAGGTTCCCATTTGATCAGTACAAGTTAACCTTGAGCATGATCACATGTCCTATAGTCTCTAAAACAATAAATAACTTATGTCCTTTCCTATCATTTTCTTACCCTTCTTTGTGAAAAAAGCATATCAATAAAAATGTGATAAACAGTTCAGCGCTCCCAATATATCTATTAAAGTTATATTTTTTCACAAAAGTACCTGATAAAATGACTTCCGCTTTTCTAATCTCGAGATAACTATTCTAATAGCTAAATATGGAGTAATATCTACTTTTTCTTTTTGCATATATCATCTACAGTGATAAACTGCATTGTTCGCTTTATTATAATGACAAGGTTAATAGGAAAAATATTTCTTTTGTGCGTTCCGTTTAGATCAGGAATAGTAAATGACACATGGAATTTTAGACGTGTTTGAAAGACGTTCTATTTAAAAATACGAGGGAGCTTTTTTCAGATTGTTCTAAGAGAAAAAGTCAGTCACAGAGACTAATTATTGGCATATGCAGGGTGCCCAAAAAGTACGGATGCATCAAAACATCTCTAAACGATCTTCTCCTAAAGAACAATGTAGAACAAAGTTGTAAGGTTTCAAAAGCGTTATCGGAAAATTTCATGTTCAAGTATGTCTTTGCCCATGACCTTCATGTACATTTGAAGGTGTCCAAAAAGTATGCAAAGGACAAGTTAGTAGTAGTAGTAGTGGTGGTGGGGAGGCGAAGCCTGGCAACTAGGTTACCATTTACCCTTTTTTCAACTCTGTAGTACCAACACTGTACCACTCCAAGACCTATCTACTGGTAATTTATATAATAAACCATATCCGGCGATGAGATGTACCCATCGTTAATATTGCACCCACGAGCGTAATAAAGACATAACACAACACAACATGCATGGCACGAAATTAATTTCCGAATCGGAGTTTCAAACCCGCGAGCCCCGAGTTGCAACCTCGACGCACTAACCACCGAGCTACCGCTTCCCATGGAAGGACAAAATATATCGAAAAATACGCCCCACAAAGAAAAATGAAGCAGAACAAAGTTGTAGGGTTTGAAAAGGGTCAACGAATGGTGGCCTTGAACGTAAACTTTTCTGTGACCTTCAAAGTCATTTAAAGGTCAAAACAGTTCTATTAAATGGAGCCTTCCTATCAAAATGACAACCGCTAGTGCAGTTTTTCATCGGAAGATTAATTTTTTTTTGTCCTAAAGTAACCTAGTGTGCAATAGCCACAAACATCAAATGAGAGTCAAATACGTAAAAAACAACAAAAATTAATAGCACCCTCTAGAAAGACTGATTCAAGTCTAACCAACTCCAGTTGGGTTCTTCTATGGAGCACTAGTCATTGACCGACTTGGATTAACATCAGCCTAACGGTTTTCAACACATGAATTGTGATAAAAATCAATTTCTGGGAGCATTTCCAAGGGATTTTTTTAAAATCAAACAATCACCTTTGAGAATAATATTAATGACTTCAGAGACATTTTGTGCTTTGGAAAGGAGTGGGAGTTTACAATTGAATCGGAAAACGTATTGAAAAGATCCGGATTATTAATCTGTGATAAATTCCCATACCTTCTCTTTGAACAATTTCTCAAGTAGCTATCCGGTATTGGGCTAAAAACACCTTAACACCAATATCTCCTACAGCATATATGTATCTTAAAGTGGACACGATTTCAAACTTTTCACCTTGATAAAACTTTCTCGATTTGAAAAGACCTATCCTATATAACTTATTTTTCTAGAGACCAAATTTTCCATGTATAGTTTATCTGAAGTCACTTGAAATAGCATAAAAACCTTTGGTCGGCGCGTCCTTTGTAATTTCATGACGTATCATAGGCGTGCGGTTATTTATTTAGAACGATAATAATAATGTTTTTATATCACAATAAATGGATTTTACTATCTTCTTATTTTTTTGATTTGGGATAAAAAATACTTATATTGGGAGTTTAATTTATGTTGACTGAAAGTTAAGAAATGGAAAAATTACAGAATTCCAACGTTAGACATAGGCAAATATTTACATAGCAGGTAGGTATATAAAAAGGTATATAAAGACTTACATTATAGGTATTTATATATCATCCTCGCCTTCGGAGCTGTCGCTAGAGTCATCTTGTAGAGGAATTACAACGGGATTTACACGAGGCAAAACACAATATTCATTTTCTTTTTCAATAATATGCCTAGAAGACTGCTTTTATAGGTCTGTGGCAGCAATACCAGATACTGCATCTCTTATTGTGGCCAATAGCGATTCACTTAATTGAGGGGTCTGATTATGTTTTCTTACTTTTTTTTAAGGCAGCCCAGACCAACTCAATCGGGTTAAAAATGCAGTAATAGGGAGGTAGACGTAATACTTCATGGCCATTTTGCTGAAGCAGATTGTCAACAACATACTCTTTTTCAAATTTTTGTCTTTTAATAAGATCCAATAATATGGCTTTGGTTGATTTTTGTGATATTTCCATTCCCTTATCCTTCATAAAATCAATAATGTCTTGTTTTTTTGTGCCTGTATTCGGAATTTTGTTTTTCTGTCGGGAATGGTATGGCGCATTGTCCATAATAATCACTGAATTTGGGGAAATGTTTGGTATTAACTGCTGCTCTATCCACTTTTCAAATAATGCACTTGTTGCTGTCGTCAACCCAGCCGTACTGCACAACATCATGGGAATCATACCACGTTTCATCCAGGTAAATCAGATTTCTTTTCTGCTCTCTATGAATTTTAACTTTGTGCAAAAATTCTTGGCGCAATTCAACGATTCGAGACGACTCCATAATCACCATTCTTTTATCTAATTTTTCGTATTGAAAACCACACAGTTTTACAATACAGTGCAGTGAGTCTAAGCATTTGTAATTATAAAAATCTTCAGGATAATCTTTTAATTTATCCCGTATCATTTCCAACGTGGGCACCAAATTTTCTTTATAAAATCCGTATATTGTACGACGAATATCTTCCTGAAAACCCACGTCTATTCTTTTTAATTTTTGCCCTATGCGCTTCCTGTGGAAGGAATGGTTGACTACATCTCCCCTTTTTATAACCCGATAAATGGTAGACCGACTGATTTTTGTCAGGATACAAATTCTGTTTAAAATTTGATTTTGCGAGGAATCTGGATTTTCGTTTTTCAGACAATCATACATACTTAGGATTACTCTTTGGGTCTGTTCCTCTAAATCTTTATGAAAGAATTCTGCCTGCACAGGTTCATCAACCATCTCCTCGTGGCTTGGAGCATTTTCCCAAGGTCTCCAAAGAGCCATATTTAGGACACACAAGAACAATCAACACAACAATTAAATCAACAAGTAAACTGAGTATTCAAAAGTCAAAAACACACAAACTAATAAAATCTATGAAAAAACACGGACAGACTAAAGAAAACACGTTTATTCACCGCTACACGGCACTGGCTAAACTGTTTCAATTTTCAGTAGCCACCTGCACTTGTTCGGAGCTCTGAAATACACGCTTTCTCATTGGCTATGTCCACGCATAGGCGTGCTTTACTCCACGTGGACCGGTGAAACTGCCTTTGATCTTATACGGGGGGGGGATATTTGCTGCGAAATTTGGCGATTTTTGCAGCAACAGAGCGTGTTAAATATAGATATATAAAACGCACCCGGTATTTCACAGTGTTTCAAGTGACTTCAGATAAAGTATACCTTTCTTTAGCTTTTATTCTATAGATACAGAAAAATCTCCATATTTTTTCACATAAAACGAACAGAAAAGTACGTTTACATTTGAAGGGTAACATTGTTTGAACGTCAATTCTTCTAAATGTTGTAAAGTGGATGTCACACGATCAGTATTCACTGTGGTCTGTACCATCACAAAAGGCGTATTCTTTAATTCACTGGTTCAGCCGCCGATGCAACCAACTAGCCAATTTTACTTCCTTTAATTTCCGTCTGAACGACCGGTTGTACACCAAACTTGTCTATATAGTTTACAACTGTTGTCCAGGCTATATGGTAAATAAATATCACATTCCATGGTAAATACTGAAGCATCATGGCTAACACTGATCGTGTGACATTCGCGTACGGAAACATTTTCATTCTCGGTACTATTAACTACCACCACTACCGTTCTGAATTTTTCCGACTTTAAAACTTCTCGGAATTGGACTATATCGATCAAAATGTTATAAATGAAGCGTTACCAGCATTAGATTTACCAACCTGTTGTTTGACACCATCAATAGCCATTTTATGAGTAGAACCGTTCTGCTCTTTGTGGCTTCTGCGTGAGGACCGCTTGTGGCGCCACCAATGGCGCTGTTCGCAATCAGACTGCTCCGCGGCATCTAACGCGCCATCTGTCTGATGGCCATTCGTGCATCCGGACTAACAGAAAACAACAAACTAAAATGAAAACGTAACAACTAAATACACAAGTAAACAAAAATAAAGAAAAACAAGTCTTGAGCACAACAGGTATTTCAAATACAATAAACGTGATGCACGAGTATTATGTGCTGCTCTAACCAAAAGCACCCCCACACAAACTCGATTTCAACTTTCGGTTACGTTACTTAGAGTGAAATTTATAGAAATTTCTTGAAGCTTGAGGCTTCCTTGAAAAGCGATCAAAATTTTCATTTCACTGTAGGCTATAGCATTACAACCTGTCATCGATTTCATAAAGATTTTTCTTTGCTGGCTGTATCTATTTAGCATTTCGGTGATAAAATTGGGACGATTTGTTTTATTTGTGCTAAATATCAATAAACAATGCAAAATAATAATGAGCTAGCTCCCACGAATTACAGCGCAATCACAAAGTAAATAACAATATAGGCAACTGCTCTGCTGGTTACAGATTACGTTTGTCAGATCCAACTACTACAGTATTTCACAAAAAAAACATATTTTATACCCAAATTTTATATTATCAATTATCATTATTATGAAAAGATACATTTGATCGAGGTACTAGACAAATCTAAAGGGATTATTGAAGATAAAAACAGATATAGTTCTGTACCCGAGAGGTAAACAGTCCTAAATCCAAAAACTGAAAGTTTTGAGTAATTGATAAAACAAGCAAAAATTTCAACAGAACAAAAAAACTTATGTATTTGAGCTTAGCGAACAAACGTTCACACACAGGGGTAGGTTGCATGTGTATGTATGAGGGAGATGGAATAGGAATACGAATACTGGTAGTCTTACTTTGACCCGCCAAGAACGGTGACTACAACTATAGCAGCAGAGCAGTTTGGTGCAACTGGTTACCTATATTCAGCTTTTACTTCTCTGTGATTGCGCTGTGATTCGAGGAAGCAAACACAGTATAATTTTGCATTGTTTACTGATATTTAGCACAAATAAACTGAATCGTCCCAATTTTATCATCCAAATGCTAAATAGATGCGACCAGCAACGAAAAATCTTTCTGACATCGATGACTGATTGTGATGACAAAATAATAAAATCGTTTCATAGTTGTTCTGGAAATGTGATTTCTCTAGATGTGTGATACAATTGATTAAAGTTCTACTTCAAACTACATAGTACTATATTCGCGCCTCTGAAAATTTAGCCGAGGCGAAATGAGATACCGTAGCATCATCTTTGATTTGTTACATCTATCTTTCTCCTCTCAGAAATAATTAGGAATCTACTTTGAAAACTTTAGTGTCTCATAGTTAGCTCTGTAGCTATATACGAGGGATGACTTTTAAGTTTTGCATATGGAAATAAAACAACACGGTAGGTAGTTTTAAATGACTTTATTGTTTTTCGAAGTATTCTCCACGAAGATTAATACATCTGCATGCGCTCGAACCAATTTTCGAAGCACTTATTCCACTCGTTTGCTGGCAGATCCAAAACGGCATTTTTGAATGCGTCAACTGCTTCTTCTGGTGACTGGAACCTTTGACCACGCAGTCTGTTTTTAATTTTCGGGAAAGTAAAGAAATCGTTAGGACTTAGATCGGGACTATATGGAGGATGGTCCAATAATTCCACGTTTTCTTCCGTTAAATACTGCCTTGTTTTTTGGGCTGTGTGCAAGCTTGCATTGTCTTGGTGGGGGATGATTCTTCTTTCGGGGTTGATTTTTCGAAGCTCGGTGATGACTTTTGGCAAACAAATGGTGAGATACTAATCCGCAGTAACAGTTCTTTGCTCATTAAGAGGAATTGTTGCAATATGACCCGCTTTTGACACAAATGTCGCGACCATCTTTTTCGAGACACTTCGAGAACGGATGACCTTTGTTGGTTTTTCTTCACTTTGGAACACCCAAACAGCCGACTGTCGTTTATTTTCTGGTTCATAACAGTAAATCCAAGATTCATCACCACTAACAATGCTGTACACATTTTTTGAGTTTCCGGAATTGAAACGGTCGTTTTTGACTGGCTGCTTTCTGCTCTTCAGTCAACAGGTGGGGTTATCCAACGAGAAACTAATTTTCTTACTCCTAATTCTTCATGTAAAATTTTTTGAATTGAGGACTTTGAGATCTTCAAGGACGCCTCAATCTCGCGATATGTCACATGTCTATCTTCAATTATGAGTTTGCGCACAGCATCGACGTTTTCCTGGGTGACTACCGTTTTTGGTGCACCCACCCTGGGGTCGTCGCTAAAACTCACCCGTCCACGTTTGAATTCTCCATACCAACGGGAAATTGTCGACTAATGTGGCGCTCCGTTGCCGAAAACAGACAGTAACTCAGCAAGGCATTCTTGTTGCGATAATTGTCTATGAAAGTTGTAATAAATTATGGCGCGAAAATGTTCTCGGTTGAGTTCCATTTTTCTAATGACTTGGTGACTTAGAAATTCACTGTAGTGAGAACACTGCACGTATTGTTGTGAAACTTTGAATTTACGTTTACTAAAGAGTGAGGTTAAGATTCAGTACTGACGTTCGATCGGGGTCTACTATGTTTCTATATGCAAAACTTAAAAGACATCCCTCGTATATATATATATATATGAACATATAGCTACATCGCCATCTGTGAGACACTAACTTTTTCAAAGCATACTTCTAACTTCTTCGGAGAGAAACATAGGTGTCACAAATTGCCATAGATGTCGCTACGGTATCTCATGTCATCTCGAATAATATTTCGGTTATCTTAACGGTTATACGTAGCGTGGCATTTTGTTCAGTTACAGACTAGCACACAACAAAATTCTTATTACGTAAACGTATGACATAAAGATCTGATGTAGTTCCAATAAAAATATTTGACACTTCAAAAGATTTTCAATTATTAATGAACTGGCAACAGTGTAATGACATAGGTATAAAATATCCGCCCTACCAGATTAAAGGGTAATTCCACCTTTCCTTATTACCTTCAGATGTTAGCCTATTGCGGGAGCTTTAAATACAACTTCGTAATAGATAGAGAATTTGCCTCTTTGGGAAAGTCCAGATAATAGCTAATTCGATCATTTCTTCTTACCTAGGGATATTGGTCGAACATGCCAAGAACCAGACTTTTGGAGTTTAACTCGAGTGAGGTATAATGGAAAATTGTTAATGACGCAGGTATATCCTAAAAGTTTATCACCAGCAGTAAAACGCCAGAAAGGATATTTGCTTGCAAAGACACGCACATCTGATGACCGTACAACTAAGGTCATTTGAAGTAGTAAAATAATAAAAATACAGTAAAGTTTTCGTTCGTAGCCACCAGGCTGACAATGCGAATTGGCATAGCATAGTAAGGTAAAGATGACTATGGAACTGGACTGGAGTTCCAACAAGCAGCTTGCTGTATTCACTCTCGCAGACAAATAGATAAATCTATTTAAAATTTTAGGCACACAAAAATTCTAAGCATCGTCAGTAATAAAAGTGAAATATCGGAATTCTATTATCTCCAAAATTTCGAGCCCTAATAGAATTTTTTTGACTACACCACTCAAGTGGTAAGAACATTGAAAAACGCCCATTTCCGCACAATATATTTTTTAAAGATTGATTTGCCAATTTTTTTTGACATCGCTCAAAAATGTGGAAGGTTGAAAAACAGTTTGGGAACATTCAGGAATTTATTGCTTTCACTCATAACTCCACCGCCTCTGTTCTCATTTCTGAAACCCACAAAGCTTTTTCGTGCTTAGCAGATAGTCGTCTTCTGTAAAAATTTCATCGAAATCTGAGCTGTACTTTCCGAGTTAGAGTGTCCAAGATAAGGATCCTGGCGAAATCATTTTTATTTTTTTCTGACTTTATTTTAGGAGATATCAAAAAACTAATGTAACTTTTCCATTGACACTTTTTAGGCACTGCATGATGGTGTTTTTAAATTTGTTTGTTCGACGGTTCGTTTTTGAGAAACCATCATCATCTTTATTTTTTATATGGTCCGAAAAAAGTATCTGAGTATCTAAGAGCATTTTTTTATATGAATTCAACGATTTATAGCACAAAATGTAGCACGTCAGCATGTCGAACTTTTCTTCATTACTAAAACAACGGCTGACATCTTTGACGATAATAAAGCAACATTAACAATACACAATAATAACAATACTCGGTGACATCAGGACATTTACCTCAAGTCTAGCATGTGTTTGCAGCTCCTACTTATACAGGGTGTTTCAGTTTATTGTTGAATAACTTTAAGATTCGATAGAACTTTTTAAATATATGTCTATATAAACATGGGTCGAAAAATGCGTGGCTTCCGAAATACAGGGTGTTTAAATTTAAGTTTTAAAATAGTTTTTTTTAAATATTTCGAACAATATTTGATGCATAACAGTGAAAATTGGTATACAAGGGTTTTTTGGTACGACAAAACGAACCAAAAAACTGATTCTTCGCACTTTTCTGCATAAAAAACCTCTCCTGTGAGTTTTCGTTATAGTTAGCCGTTTTTGAGATATTTCGATTTTTAAGGTTCGATGCATTTTTAATTATTTATGATAAAATAACGTTGAAAAGTCAGTCGATAATTTTCAGAAGTAGGCTGTTCCTGCAAATATTTTTGAAATTAAAAGCAAAATAAGGTTAAACGTCAATTAGTTGACAATTAGTTTTGTTGTCTGTTGAAACCCTAAACCTTTTTTTGCAATTGTGAATGCACGAAATTTAGTTTCTTTTACCTGTTTTTTTTTTGTAAGTTTTATAAAAATGCCATTTTTATTCTCCAATCAAGAGTTAGCGGATATTCATTTTGTATATGGCTTTGTAAATGGAAACGCAGCAGAAGCAGCCAAAGAATACGCACGAAGATTTCCAAACAGACGACATCCAACTCGCTCAGTATTTGCAAAAGTGCGTCGCCAAATAATTGAAAATGGTTTTGGAAATCTCCAAAGGGATCAAAACATAAATGTTCGTCAGCGCAGATTTACCCGTATGATTCTGCGTGAGTTTGATAGAGA